AATGTATTTCTACTGCCTGCAGCACGTCTTTTTCTCCGGTCGGGTCGTGGGAGACCGGAAGCTGTGTGGTTCATAAAAACATGTTCTTACTCAATATCAAGCCACAGTTATTGCTTTTATTTTAAATCGTATAATTTCTGACTTTTGTTGCCGTCTGTGAGGAAAATAAATGGGGCTCAGAGCCTCAGGATGCTGAAATCTGTATTTTTTAAATCTTTTTTTCCTTCTAATTTGTTATTCTTTTCAAAATAACACACTGTTATTTACTCACCAATAACACACAATTATCCTTGCTTTTATTTATTGGTTTAATTCCATAATCTCTGGCTTTTTTGGCGTCCGTCAGGAACTGAATTTCAAAATAAAAATAACCGGAAACAGACGTAGGCATTTCGAGCGATTACCCAAGATCCTCAGCTATGGTTTTAAGCTCGTTTATTGGATGTTTTAGCCGCAATGCATGCTGAGATTTGGTGTTTATATGATATGAAATCCGGAAAACATTTTAAAAGAATAAAAGAATACTTAATTCCGAGCGCTCTTGCTTTTCTCTTTGAAAGTCATCACATAACGGCATTGTAATACACGGTTCAGCTGCATTGTATATTACAGATCTGCCGTAGTTCTTTATTTATAGAGCCCTGATGAGAAGACCTTTGGAAAAACTGAGAAAATGCCGCCGAAACTGAATACTTGACGTGGATCATAAATATATTCAACAATTAAACAACATCTTCAATTTCTCTTCACACAATACGTCTCCTTGCAGTATCAACACTAATTCGGCTGACTTTTACATTTGATCTAATTCACAGATAGGTTATATTTACACCATAACGGTGCACAGCTGATATAAAAGGACTGTAGTTTTTAAAGATATTACTGATTTTCTTTGAATGTAAGAATGTAAATACTGAGTCTGAAATAGTATAGCAATATGCTGTAAAATTATGTGAAAGCATGCATAAAACTACACATCTTCAGATGTACGAAAACATAAGTGTCCTACATTTATAATACAAAGTTATTATGGCTGTGTGTACCTTGTGTGCACCTCCTAGTGGTTAAAGCACGTTATTGAATTATTGTTTATATTTGATTAAAAAAATATTAAGAGTACATACTTTCATAGGGGGAAAGTATAAATATAGAATGTAAAAAATCAAGAAGATACTCCAAGTGATCTCTACAATAAAACAGTTTAGTGCAGAATGTACAAAGATATGAATAGGAGGAGGTACAAAACAGAAAAACGAATTAACCTTTATTTAAACATTAAATAACAGATTAAGGTCTTCTTTTAAATAAGAAAAACACTTTGGGGGTATCTATCTACAGATAAATATTAAGCCTGACAAAGTATATAACGTCTAATATATTGCTTTCCTGCAATGTTAACTATGTTGAAGCACTTATTTTAACTGATATTATACATATGAATTATACTCTTATGTATATAGATAGAATAAGAAATGTGCAGAATATAACAGTTTAATGGTGGAGGTACACACATATTGATAGATGTCTTGTAATGCACTGTTGAGGAACCTGTGACCCAAGTGTTTCATTCATTGCATAACTACACCGTAGTTGTGTATATGATATGTCAATAAACCGTTGAAAATCTTGAAAGGGATGTGCAAAATAGCCATAATCTACAGTCTTTAATTAACTATTAGTAGAGAATAACGAGTAATGAATATACTTTATTACTCGTTTCCATTCATGTCAATTGCAGATACATGTTTAGTCTTCTCAAGCACCAACTATCAAATATCTATGGGCTCAGAACAGTCTCATAATACACACATGCACACAGAAGGATTCAAACTTGTATTTCCGGATCCATACTTGTGTTTTTCAATGCACACACAAATGTATTCCGTTTCATATACATGTAAATAAAATCCAAATACAGAAAAAAGTTTTACATATGTATTTTTGATCCTCACTTATTAGTTTCCCGTTTAAATCCGCTGAACCTGCAAACACAAACCGCTTTCTGTGCACGGATCGCTTTGCATTCGTGTGTGGGTTTTTTGAGACTCCCCTGACGGTCAGCCGATTCGTACTTGTAATTTTTTCTATCTATAGCCAATCAGATGTCTCCTTCATTCTAAGCCAATCACATGAGCGCGCCCCCACGAGGGTAAGATTACTTCATATACGCATTTTGCGCAGTCCGGTCAGCTCGCTAAACAGAGGGCGGAGCATCAGGTGATCATGCAGAGCAGCGTGTAGCTGATCTGATCTCTCTCTCGCGTCCGGTTATACTTCACTCGCGTTTATGTCCATATTGATCAGATCCAGCTCTCCTGATCGGCCTTTATAGAGAGCACCGATCAAACTATTAAGAGTGAATATCGGCCGATAATGACCGGCGGGGCTCCCCCGCGTTAATTGATCGATTAGGCTAAGCTAACCTGTAGCTGCTCCCTCCACACTCACAACAACTTCATACAGACATAAATAAAGCAGCTGTATTCGCCATACAGGAAACACACATTTAAAACGGTTTTGCCTGCCGTTTTTGTGTACACAAGCATTTATCAATGGTTTGGAAAGTGGCGCTGTACCTTCCTTAATAATATAAAGGCTTGTATTTGCGTGCATTTCCTGTTCGGAAAGTGGCGCTGTACTGAGAATGGAGGGTGTCCTGAGATTAGCGCCTGCAGGCAGGCTCCATGGAGCTGTCAGCTCCGGACTGCGCAAAATGCGTACATGAAGCGCTACGTCATGAACGCAAGAAATCTACCCTCGTGGGGGCGCGCTCATGTGATTGGCTTAGAATTGAGGAGACATCTGATTGGCTATAGATAGAAATAATTACAAGTACGAATCGGCTGACCGTCAGGGGAGTCTCAAAAAACCCACACACGAATGCACAGCGATCCGTGCACAGAAAGCGGTTTGTGTTTGCAGGTTCAGAGGTTTTAAACGGAAAACAAATATGTGAGGATCAAAAATACACATGTAAAACTTTTTTCTGTATTTGGATTTTATTTACATGTATATGAAACGGAATACATTTGTGTGTGGATTGAAAAACACAAGTGTGGATCCGGAAATACAAGTGTGAAACCTTTTGCGGATCATGAAATACAAGTGTGAATCCTTCTGTGCGCATGTGTGTATTATGAGACTGTTCTGAGCCCATAAATATCTCTCCTGATTGTTGGCACTTGACAATCACCTTCCCTGAATTTTACTCAGGTGTAACTAAAGTCTGATTTAAGGGTTGTTTATATTTCACATAATTAATCAGAATCTGCAAAGTAACTCAAATAAATGCAGTGGAGTAAAAATACCAGGTTAACCTCTGAATTGTAGTGGAGTATAATTACAAAGTAACAATGAGCTGTCATGTGGGTATTAATGCTGCGCATTATGGACACAAGCGATTTTCACCCATTTATTAATTATATGTTTTACATTTGATAACACCAATGTGTTTAATACTGGCAACTTCTAATTGTGGGAAAAACGAAAACGTTCAGTAGAGACGTCCCATAGAACATTTTGCGAAACACAATAGCCAGCATGTGTAGTTCTGGGGGGGCGTTCGATTCCAGTTTTGGATAGTCTGGCGTGGTTTCGTTCCATTTCACACAGCTGTTTGACGCTCTGCGTAACCTTACGGGGGACTGTAGTCCTAAACGATAGCTGGGGATTATGGGTAGTGTAGTGTCTTCGGCCATCCTAAACTCAGAAATGTTGACAATCGCAATGATGCTCGAAATGTCCCTTATAGGCCTACGTCTGTTTCCGGTTATTTTTATTTTGAAATTCAGTTCCTGACGGACGCCAAAAAAGCCCGAGATTATGGAATTAAACCAATAAATAAAAGCAAGGATAATTGTGTGTTATTGGTGAGTAAATAACAGTGTGTTATTTTGAAAAGAATAACGAATTAGAAGGAAAAAAATATTTAAAAATACAGATTTCCGTATTCTGAGGCTCTGAGCCCCATTTATTTTCCTCACAGACGGCAACAAAAGTCCGAAATTATACGATTTAAAATAAAAGCAATAATTGTGGCTTGATATTGAGTAAGAACATGTTTTTATGAACCACACAGCTTCCGGTCTCCCACGACCCGACCTGAGAAAAAGACGTGCTGCAGGCAGTAGAAATACATTGCTTTTAAAATCGTGCTGTGCAACACGAAAAAAAGGGGCAAATCGTGTTGGTGAACACGAATCAATAGATTAAAAATTGTGTTGGTGAACACGAAATGCCGTGAGACTGGGTTGAAATACCATCTTCACCAGCATAGACCAGCTTAACTACCAGCTAAAACCAGCATAGACCAGCAACCATCTTAAGCTGGTCTATGCTGGTTTTTTCAGCAGGGATGTATGTACAGCAGGGAAATACTATGTTATGTTTAGCCTACTGACTGGAATAAGGCTAAAATAGTTAGCCTTCTCTCTCCAAATAAAAAGAAAATACACCTTACAACATCTCATTTGTTGAAACCGTACACACACAGAACAGTGGAGTGCTAGGCTAAGGACAGAACCAGTCTAGCTGTTTCTGGTCTTTATGCTAAGCTAATCAACTCCTTTCCCAGATGTCTATGAATCCTCTCAACTCACTCACACAAAGAAAGTAAATAAAAGCATGTACATCATATAATTCAATTTTCCAAAAGGACAGAACTCTTCAAATAAATGTGCAGTTACTGTATATATCATTTTCTTTCTAGGAAATCATAGGAAACTATGGGAACTTAAAAAACATCAGCTTTAAATCCCATATTGGTTGAAATTCAATGTGGTCTTTAAGTGTTGGTATGACGCTTTTGCTGTTGCTCAACCTGTGGTATGTGAAAATGTGTTACAATACCTCTGAAAATGTTGTAACTAAACACTTTAATTTATGTTTGTGGTGTTGCCCAGTGTCTGTGTCTTGTGTATTTCTGAGTCTTGAGTCCTTATTTTAATATAATTGTTTTCCATTCTGACCTCAGAGTTGTAACCACATGTTGTCATTTGCAGGCATTCCTGGTTCACAGCACAGAGGACAAGGCCATGACGTTGTCAGTACGCCTGCCTGATGAACTGGGGGAGCCGTCCGTACACAACCTGAGGGTCAAACAACACAAGACATGTACGTGTTAGAAAATATGCAAGATTTGTGTGGTAGAGGACAGATAGTAGATTAGTGAGTGATTCATTATTACATTGTTTTCTGTCACAGTTCTTCACTTCGATGGTTCTTCTCTGGTTTTTGATGACATCTTCAAATTGATCGCCTTCTACTGTGCCAGCAGGTAACAACACAGTGCAAACACAAAATAGCAAATGTACATAGTGTGTTGTGTACGGTATGTACTGTATAGCATACAGCATGTGCACATAAAGTAGTGCAGTGATAGAGATGTCCAAAGTTAGCATTGCTAAGGCTCCCTCGATAAAAATCGGATTTTTCAGATTGTGTTAACCACAGACCTTATTTCAGGCATCCAACCAATTACACTTTAAAAAAACTATTGACTTTCGAGACCAGAGAACTGAAAGTAATAAAATGACTAATTTCTGCACCATATTGTATGCCAAAAGATACAAATGTTTGTACAAAATCACAAAGACATGGCATATACACACAAACACATGTGGCATGCATTAAGTATACAGTACACATAGATATATATAAAGACAATGCACATACATTTATACAGTACATACACTTAACATCCATAACATCCATTATGCACACATGTTAATGCCATGAAAACATGAGACAGTACACTTAATGCTGGCTTTTATTTTTAAATCCACCAATTAGGGACATTCTGGCCGTCCCACTGAAGTTACCCCGGGCCATCACCACGGCAACTAAGAGAGAGGAGCTGGAGGTCATCTCTGCTATGGGTGCAGGTAGATACATCCTCATCATCAGTGCATTCAAGTTGTTGTTGCTTTAACAAAGAATAGATACAGCAATGAAAGAAACCATCATAAAATGAATTGGATCAAAAAGATGACTCAGCAGAAACGTTAAAATAATATATATTAAAGTGAATATGAAAAGTATAAAGCACTAAGACTAGCAATGTTATTTATATACCAAAAGAGAAAACAGTAGGAAAACAGCATGAATATGTCATGAAAACATTAAATGTGTGATGTATGATCTTCATGGACATAAGATTTGCCTAGTTCAGGGTTCGGCAACCCGCGGCTCTCGAGCCGCATGCGGCTCTTTAAGCCCTCCACTCTGGCTCCCTTGAGCTTAGACAAAAATAAGAAGGAAATAAAATAAAAATATTTGTAGGACTATTTATATGTTGTTGCATGGTTGAAAATGTTTCGTATCTTGTATTTTGAGGTGATACTGTGACACATAACATTTAAAAAAAACTGTTTTAATTAGGTCAACTAAAATATGCGTCACATCCTGCTACGGTCCCGCACTAGCGCCTTTACTTGAATAACCTGACCCCCGACTCGATGAGCGAACTATGGATAAATCAAAGAAAAGAAAAGTATCGGAGGAACACAGAGGGTTTAATTCTGTGTGGACAGAGTTATCTGCTTTCACAGCAAACGATGCTGGTTTACCGGTATGTTTGATATGTGGAGAGAAGTTGTCAAAGGTGCCTTTACGTATGGGAGGAAACACACGGAAGAGGAAGACAACTGACGATCTTCAGTCATAATTCAATCAGTTAACTCTTTTTAGGGTGCAGCTATATGTTTTATTTATTTCAAAGTGGATCCATTTTAATTATATTAATTTTCTTCAAATGTGCAGAGAACTCCCCAAGTGTTGTGTTTAATTTATTTTAAAGTAGGCCTGTGCATTTATTTTTTAATTCTCCTTATAAGAGTTCTTTGTTTATTATTAGAGATTAACAGTTTTCTATAATGTAATAAATAATAAATGCAAAATAAATGTAGTTTTTGTCCATGATGTAACAATATATGCAACTTTATAAGCTATCAAATATGTTTTGCGGCTCCAGACAAAATGGCTCTTTTGGTCCAAAAGGTTCCAGACCCCTGGCATAGTTTCATCAAAGGAAATCATATTTCCTCATCATTTTGTTACCTTTCTAGATATAGATTCTACATTTCAAAATATGCTATGCACTTTCTGTCCGAGAATTAGAGTAATAAATGGGGACATGGATGTTTTGACTTCCTACACTTAAAAACATGAATAGTGTCAAATGTTGTTTGCATTTAGTTAAATTACATTGCATTTAGCTGACGCTTTTATCCAAAGCGACTTACAATAAGTACATTCGACCAGGAAGACACAACCTTGAAGAAAACAGAATCATATAAGTACATCAGGTTTCATAGAGCCAAACATTTCAAGTGCTACTCAACTGGCTTTAGGTAAGCCAGCCCTTTATTAGTATATAAGTGCTTTGTTAATAGTTCTAACGCTCGAAGTGGAGTCGAAAGAGATGAGTTTTCAGTTTGCGCCGGAAGATGTGCAAGCTATCAGCTGTCCTGATGTCAATGGGGAGCTCATTCCACCATCTTGGAGCCAGGACAGCAAACCCACGTGTTTTCGCCGATGGGAACTTGAGTCCCCCTCGCAGCGAGGGTGCAGCGAGTCGTTTGGCTGATGCAGAGCGTAGTGCACGCGCTGGGGTGTACGGTTTAACCATGTCCTGGATGTAGGAAGGGCCAGATCCATTCGAAGCATGGTAAGCAAGTACCAGTGTCTTGAAGTGGATTCTATCAGTTACCGGAAGCCAGTGAAGGGAGCGGAGGAGCGGAGTGGTGTGGGAAAACTTAGGAAGGTTGAAGACCAGACGAGCCGCTGCATTCTGGATGAGTTGCAGAGGTCGGAAGGCACATGCAGGTAGACCAGCCAGGAGGGAGTTGCAGTAGTCTCGGCGTGAGATGACGAGAGCCTGGACCAGAACCTGAGTCGCTTTCTGTGTCAGCTGGGGACGTATCTTCCTGATGTTGTAAAGCGTGTATCTGCAGCAGCGGGTTGTAGCAGCGATGTTTGCAGTGAAGGACAGGTTGTTATCTAGGGTCACACCCAGATTCCTTGCAGTCTGAGTCGGGGAAACAACAGAGGTGCCGATGTTGATTGTTAGGTCAAGAGTGGGACAATCTTTTCCCGGAAGGAAGAGCAGCTCAGTCTTGTCAAGGTTGAGCTTGAGGTGATGAGCAGACATCCACTGAGAGATGTCAGCTAGACAAGCAGAGATGCGTGCGACGACCTGGGTCTCTGAGCGGGGAAAGGACAGAATTAATTGGGTGTCGTCAGCGTAGCAGTGGTAAGAAAAACCATGCGGGCTAATGACTGATCCGAGCGAGTTTGTGTACAGGGAGTAGAGGAGGGGACCAAGAACAGAGCCCTGAGGGACCCCTGTAGTTAATTGACAAGGGTCGGACTCAGACCCTCTCCAAGTCACCCTGTAGGTACGGTCTTTCAGGTATGAGGTGAGGAGGGAAAGTGCAGAGCCTGAAGCTCCAAGTTTTTGGAGAGTGCGAAGGAGGATCTGATGATTCACCGTGTCGAATGCAGCAGACAGGTCCAACAGGATGATGACAGAGGAGAGGGATGCAGTTTTGGCAGGGTGCAGTTCCTCCGTGACAGCAATGAGAGCAGTTTCTGTGGAGTGACCTGCCTTGAAACCAGACTGGTGCGGATCCAGAAGGTTGTTCTGATTGAGATAACAGGAGAGTTGTTTAAAGACAGCGCGTTCAAGTGATTTAGACAGGAACGGGAGTAGAGAGACAGGCCTGTAGTTTATAACATCAGACGGGTTGAGAGTGGGTTTCTTTAGGAGAGGGTTTACTCTTGCCTCCTTGAGTCTGTTTGGAAAGTGACCAGAAGTTAGAGAAGTGTTGATGAAATGGGTGAGAAACGGTAGAATATCAGGAGCGATAGTCTGAAGGAGGTTTGAAGGGATAGGGTCCAGAGGACAGGTGGTAGGGCGGGCAGAGGTAATGAGGGTAAGAACCTCACTTGGAGAGAGAGGGGAAAAGGAGGTTAGTGTGTTGGTGGAAGGAGGGTCTGGTGACCTAGTTGATTTAGTTTAAATAAGTTTAAATAAGCTTATATTTAAAATGTGCCTATTCAAATTCCTTAAATTCAGCATAAATCTGTTAATATAATATTGAATATTTTAAATTGCCTTGCTTTGTACTAAATAAATACTATATGTAGCCTACTAATATACTATGTACAGGCTGGGGGAGTAACAGATTATAATTGTAATCAGGATACAAAAAATGGTAACTGTATTCCTTTAAAGTTACATAAAAGAGATGTAATCTGATTACTGGTACAAAAATAACGTTATATTATAGATCACATGGGCACACATTGACGATGTAGTATGAGTAGCAGTGGGGGTGGCTACTTGGGCTCAAGCCAGTACCGGAGTCCAACATAGAGGCAGCAGCTGCGGGACAGTAGCCTGCGTACTACCCCCGCTGCGAGGCTCCGGCTAGCACCCCCCCCCCCAATACTTAGATCAAGTTGGTTACTGATTACAATTTTTTTCAGGTAAGTCATAATAATAATAATACACAATCACAAATACAATAGCATTTTAAAAAAACAGGAAATTAATAATATAAAAAAGGAATTAAAAAAGATGAAAAGACCAATTAAATGGCGTTGTTGCTAATTAAAACCCAAAATAAAAAAAATGATGTTTTCAGCTGTTGTTTAAAAATGTCCACGAGGTTGCCTCTGATATTTCTAGGCTGGGTGTTCTAGATTTTGCAAGCGTAGTGGATAAAATATGCTTCACCCATTTTATTTTGGGGGACTTTAGGTATATTGTAACGGTATACATGTTTTAAGTAACCCTCGCAACCTTGACTACTTATCAGCTTTAACACTGACTGCATGTGTTGCAGATTTCTGGACGTCCGGTCTGAGCCTGCAGGCAGAAAACCAGGAGCAGGTTCTGGATCAGAACCAGAGTAGACCCTACATGTATGTTAACCCGGTCCCTATGGAGGACTCCCCCAGCAAAGACCTGAACACCTCCTCTATCTCCAAACTGGACATCATCGCCAATCATACCCCCACCCCGTCCCTGCAGAATGGAGAAGCCCCTCAGAAGATGAGCACAGAGGTCAAAGGGCGGTCCAAAAAAGTGCCCAGTCCAGACATTAAATACAAGCGTCCCCCGCCCCGACCCCCCAGCATGGGCTTAGGGTCGGGGATGGGCCTCCTCTTCTCCTCTCCCCCCTCGCCTCACACTTCTGTAACTGATAGAAAAGAGGAAGGAAAGGGAGGGGCAGGGGAGAGAGAAGAGAGGAAGTTGGTGTCAACATCACTCACTCCGTCCAGGCCTCCGGTCCCCCCGCAGAGCCGAGCCGCTCCCCCACTGCCTCCTGCGCCTCTACGTCGCACCTCCTCCCGAAAAAGCACCGACCGAGAGGTAGGAGAGGGGACAGAGAGAGAGAAGGGACAAAATCCTGTGAAGATAACTGAGAGAGAGGGAGGAGGAGAGGGAAGTAAATCAGGTCAGCCCAGTGAGGGGGGTGAAGAAGAGAGCATGCATCAGGAGGAAGAGGGGGAAAAGGACAATGAGAAGAAGGAGGAAGAGGAGGTGAAAATGGAGGATGATAAACAAAAATCCAGCTCCCTCTGTGCGCTGTTAACCAAGAAGCCCACCCGCCCAGTCCCTCCCCCGAGGAGGAAACCCTCTTCCCAAAACACACCTGTGTGCCCCGCTACGGGAGGATCAGCCAATCAGACTGCAGGGATGAGAGGGCCCCCTCCATCCCCAGCGCGGAGGCCGGACGTGTCGCTGTACTCGCCACAAGGGGGGGCAGTGCTAGTAACAGACCCCGACTCCCGCTCCACCAGCAGCACAGAGGAAGAAGCAGAGCTGAGCCAGGAACAGGAGCAGAACCAGAAGTAGGTTCTGGATCTGTGGCAGAGGAAAAGTGCTGTGTGCAAATATATGATAGGATGTAAAACCAGGTTTGTAGTTCATCAAACTGCATAGTATGTGGATTTGAATTAATTTCAGTATGAGAACATTTATTTAATGGGCATATTCAACTGACCCATAATGCATTGTGGCTCTTTAGAAATGCCAAGGCAGACTGTGAGGCAGGGTTCTGTCCAATTTTTTGGCAAAGGTTAATCAATTTCACAGAAAATCAGCTAAAGATGAATTATTCATTAATAGTGTGTTTCCATCCTGCAATTAGCATCAGCAGTTGGTTTATCTTAACTTGCACGCTCATAGATATTGGGGGCACATTTACTTATCTTTTTTTTAACTGTCGCTAGCTAGTTTGTTAATGAGATATTCTTAGAATAATAGATATGACAAGTGAAATGGTAAAATCAGAGCCTATAAGGCTTGCCTATACTCTGATAGCAACCAGGACCAGCTTCCACACAGTCAGGAAATACTACACACTGTAAAATATGTTATCCTGACTAGGGCTTTTTTTACATGACCTGTAACCCCACAAACAAAAAAATGGCACCTACGTTACCCAAAATGCAACTCGACCGCTTGGTCAGACATCACTTACAGTAAGTGTGTTATGCTTGCAGCGGCTAATATAGCCTCCATAATTCTTAATTAATCTGTAATAATCAATCAAACATGTATTTCTGATTTGTGCATTACAAAGTATTTCACATCACACATAGCTTAACAATTGTATTAAAGTAATTATGTTAAGTCTTGTACTTTTCAACACATGTTTAAAACCTGCAGTTAAAAGGTATAAAACGATCTAACTAGCAAACAGTTGAACCAACAAAGAGCAATTCTCAACCTATAATATTTGTAGTAAATGCAGTTTAAATCTGTCCTCGTTCATTCTAAATAAAACCAATAAAAGTCACTGGTGTCTAATAGCAATGTAGCACAGTTTTTCAGTATAAGTATAGAAAAGCATTATTGGAACCCCTTTATAAACCAAAAGATTCCATTACAAGCAAGGGCAGCTACATGCTTCGATTAAGCATGCTTAATATCAGAATGTGCAAGGCTGATTTTAGATTATTAATACAGACAAGATTTTTGTACAGAGTTCAAATTATCAAAACGTTTTCAACTATGCTTATAATTTGAAACTTCCCTGCCCAGAAGGTCTCAGACAGTTGAAGACTGGACCTCGAAGCCAATTGGTAACAATGTGTTGGTCAAAGAGCCATGCTCTACAGTTTCTATTTTTGTTTAAAAGACGTACCTTATCATTCTTTCCAGTCGCCCCGCGGAGAGTCGTATCCCCAAGGTAACAGTGAAGAGAACCCCCACTGTGATGTTGGACCGAGCCCGGTACCGCCTTTCTACGGTCCTCACCGGCCTCATCAGCCACGACCGGCGCCTCACGCAGCGCATCGTGGAGCTGGCCCGGGACCCGCTGAGCTACTTCGGCAACCTGGTGAGTACACAGGAGATCTTTATCTGCTTTGGATTTCGACCTCAACGCCACATATCATCTGGATTAAAAAATGGAATCAAGTATAGCTTTCATACTTTGTATTTAGGTGAAAGAGCACCGTGCGTTCACCCTGGAGACCATGTCGAACCACTCCACCTCGACTGAGCTGCTACAGGAGATCCGACAGATGATGACCCAGCTGAAGAGCTACCTGCTGCAGAGCACTGAGCTGCAAGCCATGCTGGAGCCACACCAGTATTCAGAAGAAAAACTGGGTAAACTCAAATGACACTGTTTTTTATTTAATACGTTGTTTTTTTTTCTTTTTATCAATTGGATTCTTAAAGTAGGGGTTAGGGTTCCGGTCTTGGATTGTTCACATTACTCAAGATTTGCCTACTGGTGTATTTTACAACTTTTAGGTCCTAATAATTAAAATATGTTCTATTTAAGTGTTCTTTCTGGGAAGATGATTAACTTTAAAAGACAGATTTTTCCCAATGTATGTCTATGGGAATAAGTCTTTTTGGGCCAAATGGCATCACTTAACATTGTAATAACACAGTTAGGCCACTATTTCAATTTGATTTAAAGTCTGTCTCTGTTCCTTGTAGCATGTATCCGTACTCTTTATACATCCTTGCTTGGGCAAAGATGTTCTCCAACTATAGATGGCACATTACAATTGGCTAACATTACATAAAACAAGATATGTATACAGATTTAATAAACATGTTAATCATTACGAATGTTCCAACAAAGTCGACATTGGCTTCAAATGTTTACACAATTTAACTAATGTTAACGGCCCATGTTTTCAGAGCTAGTCAAATTGCGAAACTGACAGACAAAGTTCATTTCTGCCTGATATGTCTGTCTAAAAAATGTGATTGTCGTGTGAGAATAGTTGGAAGATAAGTGGCTAGAGGAAAATAAGTCCAATATTATGGTGACTCTGGGGCAGAGGAGTTGAGTTAAAAGACTCAGATCTACTGATACTGTAGATACAGAACCAAAGAGGCAGAGCCAGAGCAAAACCAACATGATACAGGGAATTAACGCTCAATGTGGTGTCTATTTTCTATATTGTGGGATGGCCCTTGCTGCTGCTCTACAGCTTCATTCTCTACACTAAGGGCTAAGTGCTACAGAGACTTACTGTTGTCTCTAGGAACAGGTGGTAATACAACAGAGGACAGGCCAGGGCTAGTCCGTTAGCACGCTAATTTGAGTAGATATATCACAATACATAGATGTGTTTGACATAACATCAACACTGTAACCTCTTTCACATTCTGTTTGGCATTTTAGTTCATGTTTTGATTGTTAAGGATTCTAATTCTGGACACATTTTACCTTTCAATGCTTATAAGAGTCAGATTTTGTGAATCCAAAGTGTTTAGTTTTTGTTACAGTCATTCTCAAAGGAACGATTTACGTGATGTTGTTCATTTTGCAAAAGGGTAGGTTTTATTGACTGAATTGTACATGTGTGTGCCTGTGCAGAGAGCATCGCAGAGGCTGCTTTGTGTAAGAGTGTGCTGAAGCCACTGAGGGAGCACATTTACCAGAGTCTTGAGAAACTGCGCACCAATGACAGCAGCCTGAAACAGCTGGCACAGAACCAGGTAAGACTGGACCGGACAGCTGTGAGAGAGTGTTCATATCATTAGTAGCAGCTGACGCTGATGGTGGGTGTGTGTGTGTCAGTCTGTCATTCTAGGCAGCACCACCACAGCTTTAGGAGTAACCACTGCCGTCCCTGAGGCCTCTGCTATGGAGAAGATCAGCATCAAACTGAGCAACGTGCATCTGGAGTATTCACCCCAGAAAAAGATCGAGCTCATGCTGAAGGCATGCAAGATCATCTATGACTCCATGGCTGTCAGCAGTCCAGGTCAGAACCCCAGAAAAAACGATTTAACCTATGAACTCCAATTCTATTGTTTTTTTGTATCAAAACCAAACCTCCATTCATGGCAGTACGATTATGGCAATATACATCAAACATGTTTCAAGCCTTTGTCAGGCGTCTTCGTTTTATTGGCCCCATAACAAGCATTAGCATTAGCCTTCTTTACACACATGAAAAATGCTCTTTCAACGGCAAGCTAAGGTGAGCTCACAGGCCAATTACATGAGACCAGATATTCCTAATTGGAAAATTGTTTGTTAAATCCGGTTCCGGGAGGCTTTTGGTGGTCTCAGCTCACTCTAGAGAATCTTTAATAATCAAAAGTCACTGTCCAATTATAGCGTAATTACCAACAGTTTCTTGTCATGTCAACAACACTACACATTGGCACAAAACATGTTTTTAGTGAACATTTTTGTACATCTCCCCACTTTTAATCAAAGAGTTTCCTCCCCGGGGAATACTTTGTCAAAAATATTTATATGTGTGTTTATGTTTAGGGCGTGCCCATGGCGCTGATGACTTCCTGCCAGTAATGATGTACGTCCTGGCTAGATCCAATCTGGCCAACCTGCAGCTGGATGTAGAATACATGATGGAGCTGATGGACCCTGCCTTAGCACTAGGAGAAGGTACCCAGAAAATACTAACACCCTGATCCCGTATCTGTGTTTGCAACCTTATTGAGTGTGAGTGTGTGTGTGTGTGTGTGTGTGTGTGTGTGTGTGTGTGTGTGTGTGTGTGTGTGTGTGTGTGTGTGTGTGTGTGTGTGTGTGTGTGTGTGTGTGTGTGTAGGTTCCTATTATCTGACAACCACCTATGGGGCTCTGGAGCACATTAAGACTTTTGACCAGCAGAGGACAGCAACACGGCAGCTCAGCAGAGAGGTTCAGGACTCCATCCACCGCTGGGAGAGGAGACGCACGCTGAACCAGGAGCGCATGGCCCAAGGATCTGTTCGGGTACACACACACCCACACACCAAGACGACATTATTAACAGTGACACGCTGTGTGATAGGGTCAGAGGGACTCACATGTTGTAAGAGACAATAAGGATTGGTATTGCATGATGTACATGTAAAAAAACTGAATTCTACTTGTATTGTGGGAAAAAATTGAAACTAAAATAGCAGAGAAGTATTCAAGATTAAATTCAAGATTCAAAGGTTCTATTGTCATATGCACATAAGCTACAGTGTAGAAATGGCAATGAAATAAATAAATAAATGTAAAAGTGCAAAAAGGCTACATACATGTAAATAGAATATGTTATGTACAAGAACAGAATATGAAATTAAATAATGTACTTTATTTAAATACGGTTTATTGCGGTACGTATCATAATATTCAGTGAATATTCACACAGATCATAATAGAGAAACCAGCTAAGATGTGTCCATCCATTGGTCTTTGAGTAACTTGTTGTGCATTGTTGTTGTTCAGGACTTCCTGACAGTGTCTTGTCCAGAGTTTGGAATCAACCTAAAAACTCTGGGGGTCCTGCCCACCACCACGATGGAGCAGCTGGCTGAGCAGTGTGCTGCACGCTTTGAACAAGGTACTGTATGTCTGATAGGTACTGTCACATGCTACTGTTAGCACTGGCTTTTCATTTGTTTCATTCACCACAATTCAGAGTCTGACCTAAAAGGGCCACTCCAGCAGTTTGATTATGCTAAAGTTGGGGGACTTGCAAGAGAAAGATTTTCTAAAAAGGATTTTTAACGCTGATGCAGCAGAGAATTAGATAGCCTGACTGGTAGTCCCTAGTAGGGCTTATAACTACACCTCCAATAATGCAATAACTACCTTTACCCTGTGGTAATTTCTCCATCTACAATTCCTTTCAAAAAAAAAAAGAAGTAACTTCCTGTCTTTGTTGTTAAGCAGAGGTGGCAAATTACGCTTTGTATAAAAATAACTACTCAGATTGTTAGATAACTGCTAATATTACTGGAAACTTAAAGTTATCCTATTATACTATTTCTAGGCATATTATAGGTCTCAGATATATAAGAAACATGTCTATTAAGTGTTTTGCTAAAAATACCAAACAGATCACCCGTTGTAGCCTCATACCCCTCTATTTGAGCCCTCTTAGAGAAGTGCTGATTCTGGGTCCATAGCTTTAAAAAAAAAGACACTTTGTGAGTCTCCTGACACACCAGGAACACATATTTATGTAAAAAAGACATCAAAAAGGGCATTTATAGGTGACCTTTAAAAGAAAAAAGAAATGTTGTTTACATTTCGGGGTTAACATCATGCTTCCTTGTCCCTGTCCCCCAGACTCCTACATCCTCAGTGTTTATGTGGATGGTGTTCACCGGCCCATGGCCCCTACAGAGCTGGCCCTCATTGTTAAGAGCAGTTCCAAGCCTGGAGCTTACTGCTTCGTCTATCACCATGCCGACCAGCCCATCAGCCCGCCCCCCCACAGCTGCCCGGCTGAGGCACCTCCAGCTTCACCAGCTTTAACAGCTCTACCAGCTCCATCAGCCCCAACAGCTGTACCAGCACCACGCACTCGACCCGCACCACCCGTTTTACCAGCACCACCCGTTTTACCAGCACCACCCGTTTTACCAGCACCATCCATTTTACCAGCGCCAACCATTCTACCAGCAACACCCGTTCTTCCAGCTCCATCTGCTCCATCTGCTCCATCTGCTCCATCTGCTCCATCTGCTCCACCTGCTTTACCAGCACCACCAGCTCCACCATCTCCATCCGCTCCTACCGCTCCACCTGCAGAAAGCTTCTCCCAGATGAGTCTGCTGATGTGGACTTGGTGGAGCAGGAGGTGGAGGAGGAGAGTTTGATCAGCTTGTAGCTACTCCAGCATCACAGTGGCAGATGCTGTATTGCTATGGTAACTACATCACCGTGGTGACAGCATTGCTGTGGTTACTGAATCCACCAACAAATATTTCAGACACTGATTCTGCAGGTCAACATGGGGTCTGGAACCCCAGGGACTGCAGGTTTATAGAATGTAAAAATACATATTATTGGAACATGCATGTATACGATCATGTTTATACTGTTTATATTACGTTATGCTTTGTGATGCTTGAGACTTTCTACAGACTTTGAGTCAAATGTATTAATTAATCTTTCCTCTCTTTATTAAAGTCCAGATAATTCAGACCCATTGACATTATTCTGTGACAAAAAGCAGTCAAAACACTTAAGAGGTTACAAGGACTTTGCAAAATTACAAGCACAGGTATATATTAGCAGCAGCCATAAGCACAAATCTTCCATTTTCATTCAAAAAGTGTTCATGTTCTTTTTCATTATTTTACATTTTGTATACAAACTTATACTGATTGTCTTGTAAATAAACTTGCTTTTTCAATTTTCCAATGCTGTTTCAGGTTTACATTTTTAATGGTTTCCACAGTATATAAACGGTTATAATGCCATTACTTATTATGTTTAAACCCTTTCTAAAGAGTGCCAATTCACACAATAGAGACAAGAGCAAGGTTATAAATTGGTGGGGCAGGAATTAGTCCTAAAACCTGGCAACGAGTTAGCATTTTACCATTTCCGGTTCCTTCGTCCCATGGTAAATGTACAAGAATGTGTTTTTGGTTAGATGCCTAAAATAATGTCTGTGGTTAACACAAGTTCCAGATATTTTCAAGTTTTGTTCTACAACATAAAATACGTCAGTAAATAGCCAACTAGTGAACGCCGGAAGCCTCCATGTGTTGGGGGCGGTTGCTAATGAGACTACTAAACCTTATCACATCGAACATTAGCCGACTTTAGGTTAGCGGTGTTGACGAAAGATTAGCATCAAACTGAACAACCTCCATCTGGGGTATTCCCCCCCAAAAAAGATTGAGCTCATGCTGAAGTCCTACAAGATCATCTATGACAATGTTAGCTGTCAGAACCCCCAACAGCCCTTTAACCTACAACCTCTAATATCGCTAATGTTTTTTTATTTTTTTAAATCAAAGCAAGAAGAAACCAATCCCCATTCATGGCAATACAATTTGCCCACAAGGCGCGTACATACATTTTTGTAAAACGCCTGAAATAGGATCTGTTTTTAACACAAGCTTAAGATATTTTCACGATTTGTCGTCGGACATAATATATATTAGTAAATACCCCACTGGTAAATGTCTGACGCTTCTATGTGCCATGAAAAAAAGTGACAGTATGAGACTACTGAACGTCATCACGTAGACAATTATTCGTGTTTAACCTAACAGTGTTGACGTGAAGTAATGTCATTGTAATTTAGTTAGGCTAGTATGAGATCCTAAATGGCCAGTATGACCGTTACCTAGTGCCTTTTGGATGAGATGCACATTTTCCTGTCCAAGGGGAAAAGTGTGGTTGACTCACCCCAGGCCATTGATATCTCCCGGATTCAAGCTACTTTTCTGAACATCCCCTGGTAGGAGATCCTTGCTTCCACCATTGACCTAAATACATTACTGAAAGACATCTTTTAAGATGAATCCTAAGTTAAGAGGCAGAAACACCAGCAGTCCCCACCCCAGAGGCCCCCCCATCTGCTGCTGGCACTGGTCTTTTAAACACTTCCTTTTCCAGGTGCACTTTGTTGTGCACCTCGTCACAGCAATGCAGCACACCTGGGAAGAGCAACTGCGTAGAAGGGTAAAAGGCACAGGAACACATACAGCCGTAACATGTCTGTCACACAGGTGTCACTAATAACAGCTAATGAATCAACCTAGACCACACCCCTATACAACTACCAGACATAAGATGCTTCTTTGCATTTACTAACTTTCCTTCAGGTCGGTCTACAAAAATGCGTCATCGCTGCACCACTCAGACTGCTTCAAGGGTACAAAGAAAAAGGAAAAAGTAAGTAAGGAAAAAGGAAGGATGACAATTGGGAACCGTCTTCTTTCTCTCTGCACCACAGTAAGATGACAATAAAAATACAAATCTTATACTTACGGAGGTCAGATAATGCTTGTTCAATTATCTGATCTGATATCAACAGTGGATGTCATGACAAAATGGATGTCAAGGAAACCACATTCATTGGCTTTATTGACACTATCAAGTAAAGGGATTTAAGGGAGGTAATAAACAGAACAGAGGCTATTTATTGACACTATATAACACTTAGTCACGAGGGACAGAATCCATCTCTATTACAGCTCATGAACCTACCCATCATACGTCATTGTCGGATTAGCCCCCCCCCATTCGACAATCGTCCGCTTGATGCAGTAATTGGAGTAAAAGGAGACAGAAATGAGAACGTAAGATCTGAACTGCTTTCTCAAGCTCTGTTTCATAAAAGAAACAACAACATATCAAACCATAAAATCCAGGGTTCCCAAATGGGTTCTTTGGGACTTACACACGCCTGTTATCTAACCGAGAGGTCCGCACGCACTCTCCAGACGAAACTCTAATAAGCATTCATTCACAAACTAAATCAGGAGACCTTTAACGTGTTAAGTCCGATTCGCTCCTTTTTTCCTCTCTGTACACAGCTCCAGTTTGGGCATTGGCCTGTCATCAGATTGTATCTGTTGCTGCTGCTGTAGCGGAAGTTTAGTACAAATATTTTTGATGAAATACTCCAAATCTCCACCCTCCATAATTGCACTTGCTTCAGTTGCTTGCTACTTTCTAATGGCGGTGAGAGTGGTGCAGTGACGCTATCTATCTTCTATCGATTAGATTTATGATTCGAAAATGATAAAAGTAGGGTAGACATGTGAATATTATCCGACTGAACAAAACTTGCATTTATCTAACAGGTTCGTTTTCCACTGACCTTATTTCGAGCTATTTTCCTAAATCCTATGGAGAAATCCCATTGCGTTTTTGTCGAGGGAAACCGAGAGCAGCTTACTTCCGGATTTTAGGATGCGTCACTGCAACACTAAATTGATGCGATTTGATTGGATTGTGAGGCAAGGGAAGCCAGCCGCCTCTTGCTTCCCTTGGCATGGCCCTGACCAATCACAGGTTGGCATGGGCATCACGTGAGCCTCATCTGATTGGTCAATCCCTCAATTTTTTTCACCAAAGGAAGCTAGATTCGGCTGGCCTCCTCTCGCAACAGTGAGTGCAATCTACTGTTTCATCATAACATCTAGAGGGGCGCTGTTTGTTTCACTCTTTGTAAAATACTCAATGAGAATGGGGGAGAGACGGGCCGGCAGCAACACACAGCAAAGGAGAATTATCGAAACAAAACAAAGTGTTTTTATTTATTTATTTAAATTATAACTAGCCTACAATCCGAAAAAACAGGGGAAGCCTGGCTTCCCTTGGCCTCCGGGAGAAAACGCCACTGCCAGATTCAAGGGTCAACATTGCCTTTTTGATATAGTCAAATGACATACAAAGCATCCGAAAACACTAACCAAGTTTTACTCAAAATATTCTCCCTGTTTGAAATGGACAGTATTAATGGGTGTCCAGACACTGCAATATCACAAATTCAAAAACCAATGTTTCCAAAGATTTGTTATGATTGGTTAGAGGTGATTTACAACTGATGGCTGAAAACTTGAGACGAACACAACGAGGATGCAGGATAAACCGAAGAAACGAGGGAGGATAGCCGAGTCCAGACTTATGGAGAAAGTCGTCTCATCATGGGTAACTTAAGATTACTGGTTAATAAAAAGTATTCGCATGTGCTAGGAGTCAGTATGAGTGTATGCAAGGCATGAGGATATATATGGCAGCGTTCCATCGAGGGCCTCTGGACTCTTCGGGCCAAGAGGGATTGCACCAAGAGTCTTCACCATGAGCCTTGAGAGGTCTCTGTGCTGTGGAATACGTCCTGCCTCGTTCCTGTGCATAAGACGCACTGCACATTTTTACTTCAACTTCTTCTGTATACATATTTATGTATGTTATTCTAAAATGGTCCAACTGTCACAAAACCTTATTTCCCCTTGGGATAAATAAAGTATTTTGATTCTGTTAAGCAAGTCAGTGACAATGGTACCAATGGGAGATGACATTGTCTTTGATGAGAACATAGGTGTTGTGAGGTGATACTACTTTGTGACTTCCGCTAGTTATCTATAAAAGACGTGTGTTACAGAGCCATTGTTAAGGCCAGCTGCTTCCTGTCTGCAGGTCATTATTTCCAACCAGGCACATAACGAGGTCCTTAAATGGTAATAAGCTTCCTGCATGCCGACAAACTCTCGGAAATCTCCACCCTCTCAGCTTTTATCTAGTTTCCATTTTAGTCCATCCACACAGAAAGTGTTTCATGAACCAGGTACAAAGTTTCAAATATAGATTTGTGTGAATAGAAACATCCTTGTATACATCATATCATATCATATATATACATTTCCTGCAAAGCTGGTGGAGATGGAAGGTACTTAAATACTGACATGCATACTAACAAGGTGTTTTCCAACATTTTCTAAAACACATTTGTCCAACAAAATGCAGCACTGAATATCAAGGATGACATTGGTTTCAGATGTTTTTCTCAGGTTTATGATGACTGAGAGGGAGTTCATGGACCTGATGGACTCATATGCAATGCAATGAACACATGAGTAGGTTTCCCACTCATATTTCCCTTTTGGTTTAAGATAGTGGTGAACGTTTGAAAACATAAAAGCACTTTTGCAAGTTGGGCATTATTTTTCAAATGCTTAATAAGCACCGTAACTTACAAGATCAGAATTTCCCTGTCACGATCGTTTGTTTCCGTGAACAGTCCAATGGTGCATCATTTGAAATGACGCGGGTGCAACAAATGTGGGACACGATTATCTCCTTTCCTTTCAGAAAGGATGGTCCAGTGAGCTAAAGAAGAAAACTGAAGCTTCTTTCCTATCACCTAGAGAAGCCTAACAGCTCTTATCATGAGTCATGACTGTCACTTGCTTTATTTCACGCCGTTAATAATTATCCGAAGCCTAAGTGACAATTAGCCCTTTCAACAATTCGCAACCCTGGTTTTTGTTCAGTCTTGGTTGGATCCTTGTTTGTTGTGTAAGTCATTTTTCCATTAAATCTATCAGTTTCCTGCATTTGGATCCACCCTGCTCCACTAACTTTGATAAAGATAAATGTGCTATCTATTTCAAACGTGTGTTTTCTAGAATATTCCATAATGGACCTGGAGTAAAACAGGAATGCCATAGACTTCGTCCAACCAGTGTACAACCTGCCAGAGAGTATGAATGAACACCCTTGCATAAATACAAACACGCACTATATAGATTTGAAGTAATAAGATGGTGGGCTCTGACCAGCACCGTGACTAAGAGTCATTGAAACAGGACACTAACAAGCTAACACACTTCCCCCGGGGCTGTTCTCCTGCACACTAAACTCAAAGATTGTTTGATCTGGTGAAGGATGTGTATGCTTGCGTATATGTGTGGGTGGGTGGGTGTGGGTGCTGGGGACACAGCAGTCCAGGGTATATAAGTATGTACGACAAAGAGAGACGCTAACAGAACCAAGTAGAAGTCTGAAAGCAAAAAAGAAAAAGTGGAAATTCAAGATTTTATTTAATCTTCTTTGTAATCAGAAAAAACAGGAGAATAAAGAAGGTAGGAAGCAGCAACAAACGTACCTGACAGCAAGTAGAGTAGTCATTTCTGTCGCTGTGATTTGTTGTTTGCACTGGAATCTTTCTCTGCTGGTGTGACACCTGACCTTTAATCTTTGTGGTCCAGCCTTGAGCCTTCAGACAAGCATCGAGACCACCTGAGAACCAGGTAAGAAATCAGCGTACTGCCTGCCTTCTGACAACTATAACATCCCATGCTAACCCTAACCAACCCTATTTGCATGAAACTAATGACTTTAAGCTGTGTTGCAGGGTGATGATACGTTTCTCCCGCTGAACAGCTTAACAATGCATTCAAATCAATTCCATTTGTTCTTCAAGAAGAAAGATTGTGACCGTGACTGACACAATTTGTCTCCACACATACAAAACAAAAAGATGATTTTTAAAAGTTAGGTTTAGTTAATAATTCATAAATAGACAAATATATATATAAATAGAGCAGCTTCTAAATCGTCAGGCACATTTCAGTAGATTTCTGTTTTCTATGTAAGATCTTTGGGAGGACTCAAAGGGAATTGCATAGAAATGATGACACATCCTAAGCTAACCTTTTTTCAAATATATGGTATAATGAGATTACATGGAATTTTGGGCATTACACATTATCTGGTGTAAATTAGAACAAGCCCTAGCACCGAATTTAAATAATTCTAAGGAAAAAACAGCAATGTGGTAGCGTAATAGTGAGAGAGAATTGTGTGTTAAATTAAAATGTAGAAAACATACTAGCATTCATAAAGATAAAAATAAGTTTCTGCTTTTATTGTTTTTACCTTATTTTATTGGAAATAAATTGGAAGATTATAAATACGCAACTCAGTTAACATGTAAATTGTACTATGTTCATTATTTATTTTTTGTTAGGATGTCTGATCTGCTGGCTTTTCCCCGGATGTCCTTCCTGTTGCTTTGCATTCTGGGTATGATCTTGGTGACATCTGGCTTTCCTCAGCATCGACTTCATCTCAGGTGCTTACTCACTAAATGTGATCAAGGTTATAGCTATATGACTGTAATATAACAGTGAGTGAACTAACTAACAATACATGAATACCCTTATGTTGTATTTGTTTTGATATTCCTACATAATACAAAAAAATACATATCTGAGATTTGAATAAGTTTAATAGTTATTATCTGATTCCAGAAGTGATTCAGAGGAACCTAAACGAGAGGAATGGGATGTCCTCTTCCCCTCCATCTCTCTCCGTGATTGGAGCATTGAAATGATGTCAGCGCCCAGCCTCGGCGCAGCAGCCAATAGCAAGGCAGGACTGATGAGAGAGGCGTGGCTGTTTGGCCCTGAGAGGGCAGAGAAAAGGTAACTGTCTAGTAGTTAGTAAGGGAAAATGCCATAATGTGTTGCAGTGATGAGGTATTTTTAAAGGAAGGGCTCTCTTTTAAAATAGTGAAAGAGTAAATGCAATAACCAGGTATAAATAGCTAATGTTAGACACAGTCACATGACTTCATGTCTCTACCGCTAGGCTAAAGGCGGATAATGTTGGGAGTGATGACGTTAAGTCGTCTCATTTGAACACTTGTTAGCAACCACTGTTTTAATGCCCCGTAGAGGCTTCAGCCATCCACTAGTGACATCCACTGACAGATTTGTATGTCGAGAACAAAATGTGAAATTACAAAATGTCACTTAGAGCCCAAATTTGGCAAGGGGCAGCACTGCCGCAAGTGCTAAAGTTATAACTAATATGTTCCCACATCTGTTATAGGCAGTGGCGACTGGTCATTTGAGCTCACATTCAAACAGGCATAATAAGGGGAGTGTGAGTCAGTCTTTGTCTGTCGACCACACAAAACAGAATACCAACAGGCACAGCCCCACCTAGTGTCAGCAGAAAGTATTAAAAATAATGATTAAAAAAAAAATATATATATATATTAAGATCATGTTTAATCCTCTGATTCGTCTGTACATTGCTGTTTTAGTCTGTGTTCTTCTAATTAGTGTCTACAGTGTGTGCCTATTGAGCTGTTTAGAGCCATGTGGGACACAACCCGATCATGCCCCTCCCTCTCCCTCTCTAAATGAATGGTGACTGTAAAAACTACACTGCGCATGCTCAGAATATTTTCCTATTTAATGTGTGTGGCAAAAAATAATGACCATAGGGGCATAGAGCTGCCATCCCCACCATACGTCATCTCACATCATTCAGAGCTGATTGGCTGTAAGTACGTGTGCCGCGAAAAGTGTGGTGTGTGAAGAGGAGACAAGAGAGGTACAGTGACGCATCCTAAAACTCGGAGGTAAGCTGCGCATGGGTTCCCTCGACAAAAAAGCAATGAGATTTCTCCATAGGATTTTAGAAAATTGCTCAAAATAAGATCTGTGGGAAACGTGCACGTTTTGTTCAGCCGGATAATATCCACATGTCTACCCTACTTTTATAATTTTCTAATCATAAATCTATTGATTAGATTAGATTTATGATAGACTTTTGAAACTACAAGAAGATAAGGAGGATTACAAAAAAGTAATAGAGATTTTTGTCCAGAAGGATAGGCAAATGGACTTCATCTTCAAGTCAAGGTAAGACTGCAATTGTATTGAAAATGGGATCTTACTAAGAGAGAACAATTCAATATTTAAATGATAAAATTACCTTTTTTGGGTATCCTTTTGTTGAACTGTCTGTTTAAAATTAATTGAAGCATCAGACAAAAAAAGCTTTTGAAAATAATATTATATTTTGATTTAGGTCAAAATATAATATTTGTAAACCTGAAGAGTCAGAGCCTCACCAGCCATGAACCTCACTGCAGAAGCTTATATATAGACATCTAAGTTTTTTGTGCCCCACCACTTTTGTACATATAAAAACGCCACTGGTTATAGGGTATTTCATTATTTGATGCGCTGGTTTATTTGAAAATTAGATGTGAAAGACGATAGTACTATAAATATGAAGCTAGAGCCAGGAGAACTTTAACGAAACCTGCAATTAATATAAGTTCACTTAATGTGTAGAAACACCGAAGTGTCACCTAGATATTATTAATATTCAGAAATTACTGCTAGATTCTAAGCTTTTTATTCTGGGTATATATTCATCAAGAGTTTTGATTTGTAAACATGTTTTTTTACAAGCTAAACAAATGATTTATGTCTGTCCTCACAGTTAATAGAAGTAACTGGTACTCACTGTACAAATTAATTGCCAACTCTAAACCAATATATATATATATATATATATAAAAAAGATCCTCACAGGAAGCTCATTGGAATGACGGAAATTGTGTTGAAGACAACAACTCCCATGATCCCACGCTTCTTTAAGAGGCCATCAAAACTCTCTTTGTTGTAATGGTTCCGATTGGGATAACACTAGGCAACAAATGACATTATGTGGAGACATTTGAAAGTTAAGTCATATATTTTCCTATACTCTGGTACCTGGATTGATCCTGGGGTCTCGGTGTGTTTCCAGCGTGCGGGGGGCGTGGCCTGCAGAGTGGACGCACGGTGCCAGCATGAAGAGGAACATGGTGGTGGCGGACGACGCTGCCTTCAGGGAGAAGAGTAAACTCCTCACATCCATGGAGAGACAGAAGTGGCTCAACTCCTACATGCAGAAACTACTGGTAGTGAATTCATCGTGATAGTTCAGTCCTCACGGCCTTTATTCAGTCCATCAAACCACTTTGGCACGCTGCAGTGGCAAAACGCTTTTTGAAGGGATCCCTGGGTTACTGCAAAGCTCATATCAAGTCATCAACAACTGCTGTATTATAACTGCTCATGGCTTCATTTCAAAAGTATATTCCTATATTTTGTAGCACTTTCACTATCTAATAAAATTCACTATTAAAATAATTTGGTTGTATTTATTTGACATATATAAATAAAGACGCTTGTGTTGGATTTTCTACAGTAGTAATGCTGTGATGACAGATGAATTCAATATTATAACATAACATTTCAATTAGCTGACGCTTTTATCCAAAGTGACTTATAATAAGTAATATTGTAAAAAGATGTAAGTGTTTGATTTACTTACGGCTGTAAATGTGAATAAACACATTTTAAAGACACATTTAGTATATCTAAAAACAATTATTTACTTTCAAATAAATGAACACAAATTATTTGGGGAACATATTGTGAGATACGCTTGTTATATTTCTTGTGTTTAGTACTGATTTGGAATTAGGATGCATTTAGCCAAGTTTAAGATTTGAAAAATTGGGAAAATCCGCGATCTAGCTTCAGTAGACCTCGGCAGGTGGATAAAGATTCAACTAAAAAGATGCGGTACACTTTTGAGATTTTGAGGGCTTTAAAAATGACTAAAAAATAGAATTTTGGAATATTACAGGAAAGAAGATCTGTGGCAAACAAATGTTCATGATACTTACACGTTTTAATCTCACATTTTAACATCACTTTATAATATTTGAAGCCTAAAGCAATCACTAGAAGTAAAAAGCTGATCATTTTCACCATGATGAAGAAAGGTTGTGTTATTTATTCACTTGTGAGCAACCGCTGTTTTGATAACACTTATTAGCTTCAGACATTCACCAGTGGGATATTTACTGATAAATATCATTTGCAAGCGAGCAGCAGGAGCGCGGGCTGTCAGCATCAGCTGTGTGCTTGGCTTGCTGTTTAAAACACCTTTTTTTGTATCCATATCTCTCGCTAGAATCTCCCACCATCCAACTAACAACAACAACAACAACGTCAAGGCTTTGGGCTCTGAAACTACGGGCGCGTTATTAACGCGTTAACTTGTGTGTGTGTGTGTCAAGTTAACGCGTTAACTTGTGTGTGTGTGTGTGTCAAGTTAACGCGTTAACTTGACAGCCCTAATTTTTTCGTAATTCGTATTTTTCAGCTTGCGATAACACGTTGAATTAATTGTTGACGTGTTTGAGGACTCATTCCTGCACCAATCTAAGTTATTGAAAGTGTATTTTTTTGTGAAAGAATCTGAATATTTGGCAAACTAAAAAATGTGAATCCATGTTGTTTATTTCTGAATTCATAAATAAGCAGTTTGAGGATTAAAAAAAAACAGCCTATGGAGGAATCAACACCAGTTCATCGAGCCTGCCAATCATCTCCTGCAGCTGCGTCCGATTGGCCAGTCTCTGCCGGCCCCTCCTCTCTAGCAGCAAAGCCTCCGTCTGCAGCAGCAGCTCTACAGCCTGAGACGCTGAGAGCTCCCCCGCAGTGGGGGTCCCGCCTCGGTCCCCATCTGCTGGGGGGCTGCTGTGTCTGACCGGCCTCTCAGTCTGGAGCCTGTAGGCCAGGGGGCAGCAGGGCAGGCGGGGGGGACAGGAGAGAGGAGGGAGGCAGGAGTCTGATCTACCCTGCAGGAGTCCTCCTTCTCCTCGGCCCTCAGGGGCCTCTCTGACCGTCCCCTGTCCTTGCTGGGTATAAGATGACACAGAAACATACCTTAAGAGTCACAGTAGAGTAGTGCTGCACAATACATTTCACTTTTATCTTGATCGAAATATGGACCAAGCATGCCCAAATCACAGTAAACACAAATATTTGGTAAAGGAAAAATACATGAAAATATCTGAATGAAGTATTGTGGACCTGCAGAATTATATGGTATTCTACACAAAATACCCTGGTTTGGTACATATCCTCTTAAGAAGAAAATCACGCCATAATGAGTCTAATTTATTTGTCCATGATAATGTGAATAATGTTCCAGAAATTATAATTTGCTTTAAAGGGGACCTATCGTGCAAAATGCACTTAGTGATGTCTCTTATACATAAAGATGTGTGTCAGGGAACTCACGCAGCATCAGAAAATAAAACCCTCTCTTTTTTCCTCCGTACCCAAATCTCTAAAAACGGGGCTACAACGGAGCTGATCCAGATTTGCGTCCGATATGACGTAATATCGGAAATGTAGGCTGGCTTTACACCCACGGCCCTATCAGAAACATTTCTATCAGAAACAATGCCCGACTGTTTTGGACGTAATATGGTCGGTGTTTACATTAGCATCGCTAACACTCAGAGCTAACCTGTACTGGAGAGCGTGTGTGTGAAGAAGCAGGAAATAAAAAGGAACTCACCTTGTGGTATAACCGCCAAGAGAGAAAGCCTTTGAGCTCCATACTGTTTCAGAAATAATCCTTGATAATCCATGATATGGCGTTTCATCACGGCAGTATTTAGACAGTAGCTGCCGGTAGCATCTCCCGCATGAGCTCAGCCCCCTCCCTTTGTTTTTAATACATTTTTCTTTTTTTAAACCTTTATACCCCAAATCAGCACTTTTGAAACAGGAAGTGAAATAGAGGGATATGAGGCATGGCTAGAATGGGTGATCTGTTTGGTATTTTGAGCAAAACACTTCATAGACATGTTTTTTTTAATAACGCGTTAACGCAAAAAAAAAATTAACGCCACTAATTATTTTAACGCGATTAACACATGTGTATTTTTTGTCCTCGGCCGCCCCGTAGTTTCAGAGCGCATCGAGTTTAAAATACCATCTACAAGCTGATGCTGACAGCCCCGCTCCTGCCGCCCGCTTGTGGCAGACCACACTTCCACGCTCACCGGCAGGCACCGACTGGCTGTTGGGAGGACCGGGAGGCAGTGTTCGAAATGGGGGGGAGCCAGGGGGAGCTTGGCTCCCCCCGAAGAGGGGGACATTTCGCCACAACTGCGCCGAGCACTTGACTTTATGCAGGAAGTCAGACAGTGGGACATTGTACGAAAAGTCAGCACACTCAGCACGGATAGTGCGCAACATGATTGCAGCGTCCAGGCAGCTCCGGTTCGAGCATATGCCTTGAGTTGCACATAGCACACACACACACCACACAACACACACAAACACAAAAAAACACACACACACACACAAAACAAACACACACACACACACACACACACACACACACACAACACACACACACACACACACACACACACACACACACACACCACACACACACACACACACACACACACACACACACACACACACACCACACACACACACACACACACACACACACACACACACACACACACACACACACACACACCACACACACCCACACACACACACACACACACACACACACACACACCACACACACTGTATTATTGTATGAGAGAGGTTCCAGGTTGAATTGAGGCAAATATTTGTAATGCAGAAGTTGTTGTGTTTAATATTCATGAGAATATTTGTCATTGTTCACATGATAATAAACATTTGCATAAAGCATATTTGTCCACTCATATGTTGATAACAGTATTAAAAACTTGAAAAATATTCCTCTAAGGTACATTTAGAACAGATAAAAAATGTGCGATTAATTTGCGATTAATCGCGATTAAATATTTTAATCGACTGACAGCCCTAATTTTTATATATCTGAGACCTATGCTATTGCCTAAAAATAGCATGATAGGTGACCTTTAATATTGGAAATTATTTCGCAATTTCAATATCAGTAAAAATAATCACATTTAGTTCTTTTTTAAATACTGCACCCTAAACTACAGTGAATAAATATAGTACAAAATGTTATGGTAATATAAAAAAAGGTATTGTTGGAACCAGTCTTAGTTTTCTGTAAAAAATGCCAAATATTGTCGCCTAATCGTGATCCCTGCAGTTAAAAGACCACATTTCCCACAGTGCCAGCCTTTTAAGAGATACAGAGATGGGCCACTTGTGTGAGAGACGCCGTGGAGGCAAATTGTTTTACCATTAAGTTAAAATAGTCTATACACCAGCGGTTCCCAACCTTTTTCAACTCAGGGCCCACTTAAGAATCCAAAAAAAAATGTGCGGCCCACATTCAACCATATACAATACGGAGGCTAAATAAAGTTCTGATTGGTCCATTCAGAACATGTGACACGTTGTTAATCCAGTAGAACAGACCGCTGTCAAGGACTGTAATGACCGTTGCTAAGGAGGATCAAGAAAGAGAAAGGAAAAGATCTTAATAATGAAAATGTTTCCAAACAAATCATAATATTTTGCAAATTATTTGGCGGCAAATAATGAATTTACATATACACCCTTTAATATTTTATTTGGGCTTTTAGATGAAGACCGCACACAGTTAATAAATCCAACTATTCTTCTGGCTAAAATACATATTTTTAAAAGTCAATCAAGGAGTAATCTTAATTCAAGGTGTTTGAGGAGTAGATTAAAAATACAATTTCTTTGGGAAAAAATTATTGCTACAAAAAATCAAAGGGTGTCTCAACACGCCATGAATTGGGAAATAATTAGCTCTAACGAAGAGTGGGATTAAAGGAACAATAAATATGCTTGCCATGTTGTTTTTTTGGTGGTATTTGGGTGTCAACCTATTTTTGTTTGTGAAATGTTGAAGTGGTCCTACTGACGCTATCTTTATTTCTTCTGTTTTTGTTTTGTTGTCGTCTGAGATGGGAATGTCCTCTTCTATATATTACTGTTATGTCCATTTTTGTGTCTTTAGCCTGTACAAAATAAAAAAATAAAAACAAAACATTTTTATTTGGCGGCCCACTTGCAATGCCTTTGCGGACCACTAGGGGGCTGCGGCCCACAGGTTGGGAACCGCTGGTCTACACAATGTAAAATACAGAAAGAGGATCTTAGTTGCTAATTATTTTTGTTTTGATTTGTTTGACTGTTTGTATTTTTCTTTGTTGTAAACTACGTGTATTCACTGAATTTCACTCTCTGCCTTTAACGGCTCGTTGTAGCTCCAGCCCCCACCCTCCCTGTGAGCACAGTGTGCTCTGATTGGTCGGGACGTTGTGAATCGTGCTGAGCTCCGTGGAGGTGTGGTTTCCTTGTTTAGCGATACACATCGAAACACAGCCAAACTCATCCTGAGCACACACAAAGTCACAGCCGAAGTAAAAACAATAAGTGTGGCTTGATATTGAGTAAGAAAAAGGTTGATAAACGCCGAGAGAATGGGTCTGCAGAGAGAATGGGTCTGCAGAGAGAATTTCAACAATCCCAACTGTCTGTTATCAGCCTGCAGCCAGGGAGGAGAGATCAGCAGAGCTGCCTGCACTGAGTGTGTGAGGAAGTCCGTGGATTGGTCAATTTGGACCAATCAGCGGGGGCTTAACGAGCCTGTGACAGCATCCCAACAACTGTTGTGCAATGAAATATTGGGCTACTAGTCATCTCGAACCGTCAGTTTAAAAAAGAAAAAGCGATACCGTTCCGTTAAATATCAATAATTTCGAACATCGCGGGGAAATTCCTTCGACTCATTTTGAAGTTTTGGGGGAAGCCGGAAGTGACGTCAATGCGGGAACGCTTCACTGTGCGGCGAGAGAGCCAAACACGGACAAAGTGTGTTGTCATGCGTATAAATGGTGAATTACTGAGTTTAGGCACGTTAATAACGTTTTAATGAAGTTGACTACAGTATATTCATATTTGTCAGTGCTTTCATGTCAATTCGGCGAACATAAACATAATGATCGTGGTGAAGATGATGATTACATTAGGATTAAAAATCGGTAGTGAGAGCTACTGAATTTCCTCCCGTAGGATGTGATATAAAAACAAATCGATTATTTTTGTAGTTGTAAACTCAAGTGGATGAAACTACATGTATTAGTGCTTTCGTGTCAATTCGGCGAACATATGATACATTAAATGATCGTGAGATCTAATGATGATTAAAAATCGTTTGTTTGAGCCGGTCTGCATTTCCTGATGAGAAAACAAACCGATGCTTTGTGTAGTTGTAGTACACCAACATGGATTAAACGTGTGTTTTTTTCACCACAATGTTGGGGAAATTAATGGATAAAATGCACGGATTATTATTATTATTATTCCCACTCCGATCGGGAGAATAGGTCCACCGTTTCCCCGCAGCGAGGCTCCCCCCGTTGACAGTTTACGTGGGCTGGGTGCAGTGGCGGACTGGCCATCGGGACGAATCCCGATGGGCCGGTACCGAAGTGGGCCGGTCGGATAAGTCACTAGCACATCCCCCATAGGCGGCGCGTGAGGCTCAGGTTTGGGAAGGCTAAATAACTTGTTTTACCTGACGCTGCCCGCCTCCGGCATCTATAGAAAAGAGATCAACTCAGTGTGCGGAGTTTAAATCTCTCAAGTCATATTACAGGATAAAGGAAATACAGTTTAAACTGCCGTATGCAGAGAAGACGCCGACGTGTCGCACTTATCATTCATATTACATCATCAATCAGATCATCGATCATATAATATATCATATATTTCCTTATCTGAGTCAGCTTCTCCAGCCGTATCTGGCCGTGCAACACTTACAGTGTCACATACTGTATGCAGAAGTATTATTTTAAGCAACACATTATGTTGACGAAACACTCGAGTCAAATGTAATTAAAGTCAGATCCACTCGTGTCTTAGACGTGAACGCGCTCTCAGCTGGTGAGAGAAACCCTGGCTTGATTGACCGAGTTGATAACCAGCGTCGTAGGACCGCTTAGCGAGATCTCGTTTGTTAGTTTGTTGTTGTTAGTTTGTTTGTTACTCAAACATATCCAGGGTATGTTGAAAAGGCTTCGTAGTACAGGGCACAGGTGGCTAGCAGCGCTAATGTCAAAGACACAGACATTGCATTATATTTGTATTTTACCAGGATGCAGTGACACAAATATTTACATATTTACATTTACTACCTACAGCCCCCACCGCCCCTGACATCCCCCACTCCCCCCGTTGACAATTTACTAGCGGTACCGAAGTGGGCCGGTCGAGAGTCCCGGGATGATTTTTAGTCCCAGTCCACCACTGGCTACATGACCGTATGATCGCCCATATTGACGCACCTAATTCCTAAACTTCTAACAGATACAACATAAACCGATCCTTCAGCCTCATATGAGCTCTCAGACACGTTCAAAATTAAACTGTCATCGCTGTCTGAGCTTGCTGCTGTGTGCACCATCGTGCGTTTACATGCAGATGCTGGGATCCTGAACGGTGCAGCTGGACCGCTGTGCCCGCAATGACGTCACACATCATTTGGCGGGACTTGAAGAATCCCCGAGAAGATCCAGAAAATGGTCAACATTGAAGGGCAGATTAATGGTTATCAAAGTACAAATATCCAAAATCAGTTCAGTAACGGTTTTCAAGGGGACAATATTTACTCAAATTGATGGGTTTGGATGATGGGGGAAACTCGTGTCACAGGCTCTTTAACGTAACGGCTCCGCGGACGTAACGTAACGGCTCCACGGATTGGTCCATTTGGTTCCGGGTAACGCATGACCGTATCGCGTCATAGCTCTGGGCGCGGCTACTGGCCATTCCTACGTCACGATACCCAGGAAGTAAACAATGGACAGTGACGTATCTCCAACGAGGCGTTAAGAGTTTTACTCGCTACAGGGTGTACATTGTGGGTTTTAACTCTGCACACCGTTTACATGCATAAAAACCTTCATAACACACAAGGGGACGGGTAATAACCGGAAAAGCATGACATGGGACCTTTAAAACAAACATCTCTCACAATCGATCATCAAAACCATTAAGCAAAGACATCTGTAGGATGACTAACCAACGTGTGTGTGTGTGTGTGTGTGTGTGTGTTGCACACCTGTCTTAATAGCATGTCATCCAGTTTCTCTAGCCCACAGTTTCCGTGGTGACACCGTGCTGCTCTCCCATTGGGTGCTATTGTAGGCTTCTTGTGAACAGGATCTGTCAGATGGCCATCCACCACACTGTCCTACACACACACACACACACACACACACACACACACACACACACACACACACACACACACACACACACACACACACACACACACACACACACACACACACACACACACACACACACACACACACACACACACACACACACACACACCACACACACACACACACACACACACACACACCACACACACACACACACACACACACCACACACACACACACACACACACACACACACACACACACACACCCCAAAGGATTTTACATATAGATTTATAGAGGCATACATCCTAATGTTGTGTTGATTTGTGCTCTCATTGACCTGTGTTGTTGTGTCTAACTCACCATCCAGGTCCAAAAGACTTTCTCTACCTGTCTCCAGTTCAGATATGCTTCCAGGAGGTCACAGAGCTGCTGCAGACACACACAGTCCTACAACACAAACAAACACACTTTTCTTTTTAGGGATAGTTGAGTTTTCTGACAGCAGTGGGAATTGCGTGTTATTGGTTGTTACTACCTTTGGACACAGCTGCTCTTTGTTGCTTTTAACAGACACATATTTGACTACACTTACAAAGCCCAAATGATTTTAGCTGACAGAAAGTAAGAAATTAAGATGATAATGATTGATTGATTTTTTATTTATTTAACCCCAACAAAAGACATAAAAAGCATATTATGGAGAATTATTTGAATAACAGCACAGACTTACCTTCCTTAGCAATGTTGAGCTCTGATCTGAGGAGGAGGGGGATACAGATGAGGGAAGGCTGGCAACAGAAACCTGAAAATAAAACTTAATATCAATATTTTACACTTCAATTAGTTAACAATTCTGATTTCATGCATCATTGTGCATTAGAAAAGAAAAACTTTTCCTTGTCTTCTTTTCAGTTTTCAATGGAAACTTTAACAGTCTTCCTGCACATTTGCTTCAAAACGTCCTATTTGTTGAACTTTGAGAAGAGTTTTTCGTTGCAGTACTGTCAAATGATATAAGAAAGCACGTCAAAAGTTTGCAAAGAGGGGGTTTTCTCACAGCATGGAGAAGGCAGGTCCTCTCTTCTTGCATGGACAGCAGGGTGCGGCCCTGGTGTCTCAGAGAACCAACGAGCCACTGAAGTCTCCGGACAGACGCTGAGTCCAACGGGAGCTCGGTTGGAAGCCGATGGTTTACCTAACAGAGAGAGAGAGAATAGAAATGTAAGATTACACAAATACATGTATTCAAAATGTATGATATGATACTATATTGTCAGGTCTGAAATGCTTCTTTCATCCCAGCAGAAGGGAACAGAACTGGCCAAACAGATTTTTCCTTAGCATTCTCATATTTTTTAAATGTTATATAAAATATCAATAACGGTCTATAGCTTATTCATATTTATTCTGTCTATAGTGTTTTATACTGTCTATTCTTATACCTGAACTAATGTATTCAATTTGTATACTGCTGTTAGTAATGGGTATACCTCCTTATGCTGTTCCAAGTGTTAACCTGTTAAGCCCGAAGGTCCCCGCCGGCGGGTACCCTTGTTTGTTTTTTCACGACACTGTGTCTCAGGGAATCTTAATATTTAAGAACCTATTAATGTGTTATACCAGATTAACGGGAATAATCTCAGCTAATTGACGATACAAACCATTTTTACCAAAACAAAACACAAGTCTCATAAGAAGCATCTAAATGACCTGAGTGAAAAATGCTAACCTATTACTGCACCGATAATCACTCCTAGCTCCCTTATTACTTATCCTAGGTGCACATCCAACACATCCTTTATGATCGCAAGGAGACACAGAATCTAACGGTGCCCACCTCAACACTGAACGATACAAACTCGCTACGTTATCAACAAAAACGTACATCAAAACAAGTGGCGCTAGGTAGCCCACAACGCTAACATGGCTTACCTTGGTCTTTGTCTGGTCTAAACTGGTCTTCAATGGCATTAAAACGATAAAAACGATGCTGTAGTTAATCCATGGGTTAATCCAATGTGACTGCGTCCCCTTTGAAATGTTCTGATAATCCATAAATAAAACAGCTTTTCCGTTGCTTGATATCAGAGCAGCGATATTTCTCCCCTCTAAGGCAAGCTAGCATACGCAGAGAGGCTACCTTTTTTGTTTAACATGAGTGTGTGCGGGACGATTTCCCTTGGATTCTATTGGCTCTGACGGTCAGAAAGAGATGTCACATGTCAAAATCGAACAAGGGGGGCCAGAGATATGGAAAATCCACCCAAATGGCCCCAGAAGAGGGTTTTTTTGCTAAATCTGTCTTAAAAGGTCAAATATCACTTGTTTTGCATCAATCTTGATACAGGGTACTTATTATATGTTGAACTTTGGATTCCTAAAGCTTTTAGTCTACTAACCCATCATCCAAGGGTAGTTTTCACTATAAGTACAACATATTTTTTGGACGGACACTATAATTTACAGTTTTTTTACTATGTTCAATCTGAATTTTCTTTAAAATAAAAACATCTATATTGATTCTGACGTTTCTACATCCAACTCACAGGTTTATCATTACTTTGAGAAAAAAGATTATTAATTTAACCCTTTTAGAAGGGAAGATATGGTCATTTGTTCTGGGAATGTCATTTTCGAGCCTGAGACCTGAAAAACAGGTTCGGGGCCTAAACTGTCAGATGTTTATATTTATTTAATACTATGAATAACACTGTACTTTAATACTTGTTTTGCAATCCTGCTAAGATGCTAACTGCATTTTGTTGTCTTAGTTCCTTTACTCAGTGCAAGGACAATAAAGGTGAATCTATCTATTCTGATCTAAAACAGAAGAATGCGTTTACTTGCGTGGCAACAAAAATGACTTCTTTGTGTTGTCCTTTTGCAGACATATTCACCCCCATAATGCTGTGGTGCTTACAGGTGAAGGAGTATGAGTGTGTTGTCCTTTTGCAGACATATTCACCCCCATAATGCTGTGGTGCTTACAGGTGAAGGAGTATGAGTGTGTTGTCCTTTTGCAGACATATTCACCCCCATAATGCTGTGGTGCTTACAGGTGAAGGAGTATGAGTGTGTTGTCCTTTTGCAGACATATTCACTCCCATAATGCTGTGGTGCTTACAGGTGAAGGAGTATGAGTGTGTTGTCCTTTTGCAGACATATTCACCCCCATAATGCTGTGGTGCTTACAGGTGAAGGAGTATGAGTGTGTTGTCCTTTTGCAGACATATTCACCCCCATAATGCTGTGGTGCTTACAGGTGAAGGAGTATGAGTGTGTTGTCCTTTTGCAGACATATTCACTCCCATAATGCTGTGGTGCTTACAGGTGAAGGAGTATGAGTGTGTTGTCCTTTTGCAGACATATTCACCCCCATAATGCTGTGGTGCTTACAGGTGAAGGAGTATGAGTGTGTTGTCCTTTTGCAGACATATTCACCCCCATAATGCTGTGGTGCTTACAGGTGAAGGAGTATGAGTGTGTTGTCCTTTTGCAGACATATTCACTCCCATAATGCTGTGGTGCTTACAGGTGAAGGAGTATGAGTGTGTTGTCCTTTTGCAGACATATTCACCCCCATAATGCTGTGGTGCTTACAGGTGAAGGAGTATGAGTGTGTTGTCCTTTTACAGACATATTCACTCCCATAATGCTGTGGTGCTTACAGGTGAAGGAGTATGAGTGTGTTGTCCTTTTGCAGACATATTCACCCCCATAATGCTGTGGTGCTTACAGGTGAAGGAGTATGAGTGTGTTGTCCTTTTGCAGACATATTCACCCCCATAATGCTGTGGTGCTTACAGGTGAAGGAGTATGAGTGTGTTGTCCTTTTGCAGACATATTCACCCCCATAATGCTGTGGTGCTTACAGGTGAAGGAGTATGAGTGTGTTGTCCTTTTGCAGACATATTCACCCCCATAATGCTGTGGTGCTTACAGGTGAAGGAGTATGAGTGTGTTGTCCTTTTGCAGATATATTCACCCCCATAATGCTGTGGTGCTTACAGGTGAAGGAGTATGAGTGTGTTGTCCTTTTGCAGACATATTCACCACCATAATGCTGCGGTGCTTACAGGTGAAGGAGTATGAGTGTGTTGTCCTTTTGCAGACATATTCACCACCATAATGCTGTGGTGCTTACAGGTGAAGGAGTATGAGTGTGTTGTCCTTTTGCAGACATATTCACCCCCATAATGCTGTGGTGCTTACAGGTGAAGGAGTGAGTATGAGTGTTTTGTCCAGTTGCTCCACTCTCTGAGTCAGCAGTTTCTCCAGAGTTCCTGTAGCGAGCAGCCAGCCCAGCGCCAGCAGGAGGTCTTTGCTGGAGAATCTCCCTCCCTCCCCTCCTTCTCCTCCCCCCCGCTCATACATCCAGTCAGCATGGTAGCCAGTCTGCCAGAGCCCTGCAGCCACCAGCCTCCTGAGCTCTGTGGCTGTAGACAGACAGAGAAAACACATTCAGTCGCTCAGCAAGTTCATATAAATATTTCTAACACAACAAATCACATTTGACTTATAGTTTCAGTTTCTTATTACGATTTCATACCCCTAGTATTAGACGCCTTTAGAAGTTGTGACATGAAGTCATGCAATTTTGATGTAGTTTGTCTTTTTTTCAATATGCACGGATAACCTGCTGAAAAATAAAATCGTATAAAACGTGTGTTTGCCACTAAGCTCATTTTCAGAAATATTTCAAAATCTCATTGGATTTAGTGGAGGGAGCCTATGCAGTGCTCATTTCTGGGTTACAGAAATAGGTCATGACCGCACCGCTCTACGATGTTCTTTTTAGTGCAACATAGACAAAAAGCATCTAAATGGAAATCAGTGAAGTCCTTGACAAATAGCAACAATTGCCATGTTTACATCAATAAATGGAGCATGAGAATTACCTCCTCCTAGCTGTGAACGGGGCTCACAGGAAACAAAGCCACATTTCTGTTGGATATTGGCGAGTACCTGCCAAAACTGATCCTCCTGAGAAACAACAGCAAGCAGAAATATTTCCAAATACTATTTCAATATGTACAATGCAGTTTATTAGGAACGCACTGGTCCAACATACTATAAGTCTAGTTTGACATACTGATATCTTATACAATGATGGGTACTTGTGGGTTATCTGTCGCAACTTTTTAATAGCGGGTAGCAGACAGATAACAAATAGTACCCAATGATGTCTTTTATATTTGAAGTCAAAACAATTGTATCTTGTTTTTTTCTTTGTAATGAAATCATTTGTAACATCATGCGTCAGCCGCTCAGTCTAAGAACTTTGCTTAGGAACCTGAGAGTTGATGGTTTAAAGGTCCCATGCCATGGCCATTTCTACTGATCATAATTCCATTGTTGAGGTCTACTAAAATAGATTTATATTGTGCAATGTTCCAAACTCACATTGGTTTCTCATACAGCATCTCTGTACAGTATGTGTATTCACTCTCTGTCCTACATGGCTTGTTGGAGCTCCTGCCCCCCCCCTCCCTATTAGCCCACTGTGCTCTGATTGGTCAGCTCGCCCACTCTGTTCTGATGAGTCCACCACCGTTACAGCGGAACATCAGTGTTTATGTGTTACAATGGCGTTTGTTAGCAACCAGAAAATGACACCAGTAATGACAAACAGATGAGAATGCTGCGTCAGGGCCGCCTTAATGCGCTGAAGCCCAGGGGCCTACGGAGATCGGGGGCCTATCATGAGCTAATAAAAAAATAAAAAATAAAATTTTTTTTTTTTTTATTTCGGGTGTTTTTTAAAATTTTAAATAAACCAAGTCTTGTCTTTCAGAATATGAAACTTTTATTTCCAAAATCACACGATAAATACATTTTTGAAGCTTGTAAAGGGAAGAAGACAGCTCTCCCTCGCCACTCTGCTGTTCCACAGCGCCGCTTCCCCTCCCTCCGCTAAAATTATGAATGTAAGAGTATAGTAATCATAGATAACACGGCAGGGTCCGTTTCAGTTTGTTTTCATCTGATTTCAATTAAACAAAGTCTTGGCTTTCAGAATATTAAACTTGTTTCGGCAAATTCAGATGATAAATACAGCTTTGAAGCTTAACGGCATAATTACAAGCGGAGAACGGAGTAACTTGACGTCACAGCAGGCATAACAACAGCCGGTGTTTCTCCTGAGAGTTTTCCCCGGGAAACAAACACAATACACACAAACGCAAAAATACACAAACACACACACACACGTGAGCTTCCCTCAGACCAGTAATCCAAACAAAAATATCTTCCCTCTGTAATATTTTGATCATTTGCTCCGCTAATAATCAATCAGATCGATGGATTCCAGAGATTTTTCTCAAAAATGATGACTCTGTAACAGTCAGTGGGCACCACTTAACAGCCAATCAGAATGAACATATGTTTCACATGTGATTTATTCAAATTGCGAGTGATTGAGTGACAGATGAAGGTTGTTTAGGAGAAAATGTCAGAGAAGAAAAGGTTTGAGAGTGGCGCTCGGAAAAGGAAATTGTTGAGGGAAAAGGAGTTTCGAGAAAAGCAGCTATTACAAAACATGTCGAAGCTTACAGGTTATTTTAAACCTGTAGGCCAGTATGAGGAGGAAGGACGGATGAGTTCTGTACCGAGCGGCAGCGGTGCCGGCCGCGGGGCCTCGGAGCCAAGTAGGCCGTCTGGTTCTGATAGCGATGGAGTAGCGGGAGAGGAAAAACAGACAGGAGGGACGTTATCTGTTGGAGGAGATGGAGAGGACGACGAGGACTTGCTACGTGGAGGGGAGCCAACGACAACCGGACAAATACATGAGGGAGGCCCGATACGTCACTCATCTGGAGGAGAGGACCAGGCGCGTGTAGAGCAGTGGAGAAGTGTGATCACAGAGCCTGCCGAAGCTATAAATGACTTTGATTTGTTGTTTAAATAGGGGGCCTACAAAACAGCCCCAGGGCCTGATGGCAGATTAAGGCGGGCTTGGCTGCGTGGGGTCTGGGTGCCGTGTTGGCGGGACGTTGCGGGGCTCGCTGCTCCGCCCTTTGAGGCTCGAGGAGCGGACAGTGTGAGCTGGCTTACTGGTGTCGTTTCCTGGTTGCTGCGTGGGGTGTGCTCAGGCAGAGATCAGGCTGAGTTTCGCGGTGTCTCGCTGTTTCAGGCTGAGAAATCCGCGGAGCCGCAGGTGAGAAAAGATAAGGCTGAGTAACCCTTACGTCACTACGACCAGGAAGAAAAAAATGGAAAAAGAAAAATCTCCAATGAGGCCTTCTGGGGCAGCATAGACAGGTATTTTCTGTGTTAGAGTTTTACTTTCCACAGGGTGTACTATGAGGGTTTGTGACTTTGCATACCGTTTACATGCATAAAAAGCTACATAACACACAAGGGGACGGGTAATAACCGGAAAAGCATGACATGGGACCTTTAAATCCCACAACTGACCAAGTACTATTAATGGTATTTTAAGATGTTCACCTCTTGGGCACTATTGATGTACCCTTGAGCAAGGCACAAGATCCCCACACTTCTTTCTGTGCGTATTTTCGCATTGCACTGCTTCTTAAATGCATTCTAATTTTCACTGTATGCACGTTTGTCAAAAGAAAATATAAAGCTGTAAAACAATAGAGTAATAAGTAGGCTGCAATATAGGTAACAGCTACCTCACATTAGTACTTGAGTTTTGGAGGAAATGCAGTTACATTCCACCCCTTACAGTGACAGCACATGATGAACCTACCACCGCGGGTCCTCCTCCGAACTTAGCCCGCCTGAAGTGCTCCGGCGCGGGGACACATTCCAGCCCGGTAGCCGCGAGCAGTCTGCACAGAGCCGCTATCACCTGCTTCACCTCCACACTTACTGCCGCTGCACTGCGCTGCATTACACACAGCTGAGTCACTATACGAGTATGAACAAACTGTATATCCACTCAGCTATTACATTAAGACCAGTACCGACAATCTTTTTCACACAATTTAAAATCTAACGCTTGGAAGTTGAGCTGTTGATATTTCGCGGCGAAGACAACAACTTCCGGGTACGAGGCTGTTGCCAGGGAAGTGACTCTTCTTCTCCTTCTTATATTTCGGTGTTATGGTGGCGTTAAACTGCGTTACCGACACCTAGAACCATGATAAACTCTACACTTATGAAACAAAAATCCAACAAGCAAATATTGAAAACCATTCTGTGCAATAATTGTGTACAAATCAACGCAATTTATGTATATTAATGCCTGCAAAAAAAAAACATTTATAATTTGACAGTCTAAATTGGTTTTCCCTCTGCCTGTACTAGAAGTCAAATCTAAAAAAGCACTTCACATCTGGAAATAAATGTTATGACAACAATAAATAAAGTGTCTTGCTTTAGAACCGTTTAGAACTGAATCTATACTATATTATCATATATTATCAAGGCACAACTGATTTACTTCAACAGTATTTATTTCAAAAATCTAAATCATAAAAAAAACATCTTACAATTGTATGTACAAACCTACCTGAATAATTAAAAACATGAAAATAATTGTACACAGATAATGTGTAATGTAAATAATGAAGACATGCTACATGCATTAACCTTGGTATCACAAGGAACAGGAACAATGTAGAATGTATTGATCCAAAATAAGCCTGAAAATAGAGTAGTTTCAAAAACTCTTGACAGACAATACATGACCTCAAACACAGGGCCAAACTGATCTATGGACGTGTTTAGGTCATCCAAGGTTTCACTCTGAAAAGCTAGGGAGGTGTAGATGTATACAGTATGGTCCCTTCAAGTCCCATGGGAATAGTAAATACAAACTTAACCTCCTAATGTAATGCTACTGCTGATAACCGTCTGAGAAGTTAGTTTTCGGCGTATTCCAGAATTCTGATAGCAAAAACAGTATGAAATGTCCAATTTGACGTAAATGTGTGTGTGTGTGTGTGTGTGTGTGTGTGTGTGTGTGTGTGTGTGTGTGTGTGTGTGTGTGTGTGTGTGTGTGTGTGTGTGTGTGTGTGTGTGTGTGTGTGTGTGTGTGTGTGTGTGTGTGTGCTACATTGTGCTTTAGGTCTTGCTAGAGGTACATAGAGATGCATACAAAATCAAGGACAATAAAAAAAAAAACATTGTAAGTTTAAAAAGTTTTTTTTGGCCACATTAGTTCTGTTTACATTTTCAGTTTAAAATGGTGCGGTGGAAGGCTTCTGTGTATTAAGCCTCTCTCCAATTCTGCTTTTGTATTAGTCACTTGCACTATTTAATGTATTTTTATTCTTATTTCTAAAGTATATTGAATGTTGCATTGCTGTAGGAGCCTTCAGAAGGACTTAAGGTTTGTATTGCCAACAACTGCGCTGTAGCTATTGTGCATATGACAACAACACTTTTGAATCTTTTAATAAGGTCTCATTAAAAGCTTTTTTATGGTCGCAAGGCCTGCAGGTATTAACCATTTAATAATTGTTTTATAGTTCTAAAATGTACGTGTGTGCTTTTATTGCTGTGCTGTTGTAAAAGTAATTTTGTATAAAGGAAAGCACCATGACAAACCATACAAAACTTTAAAAAGGGAAGACTCTTTGGAAAGGTGATTCTAGTTTTGCAGATGGTTACGCTTCTCAGCTTTCTCCATCTCCTTCGTCCACTTCCGGTTTGATGACTGGGGTCCCTGAAAAAAATGAGAAATGAAATTAGCTAGCTAGAATGCTAATTCATTCATTCCAGGGTTAGGGCTCAAACCTGCACCACTGTGTTGATGCAGAAGCAGTTTTACCATCTAGTTTCTTCAGATTAGGAAGTCTTTTGGAGGCTTCATCCATCCAGGTCCCTTCAGATGAGTGCTTGTCCTCCAGAGGATTTCCCACAAACACCAGGTCTACCAGGCAGGGCAGGTCAGCTAGCCTCACAAACTCTCCTACAACACAGAAAATACATCATATACTAAATGATACCAGCAGATATACCAGAGTGATCCATAACTATGGATATGGAAGCCCATGTAGATGCAGTGGTTAGTGAAAGCTACATTTATGTTTGTATTATTCATCTGTTTTCTTCTATTTTTAACTAGAGCATGTATGGCATAAGACAAGTATCAATATATCAGAAAGAAGCGCAGTGATTGGATAAGTGTAGCAGACTTTGAGACGATCATCGCCCAAAGCATCTTCCAGCCATCCTGCCAGAGAGCTACACCTGCGACCTAACTACCATGAAGGAGGAGTAAGCGACCAGCAGGAGAGGAAAAGAGCTAAGCTAGCCAAGCTAGGACCTGTAAGGCTATTCCACTACCCAGAATGCTCCTGGCTGATGTAGCAGCAAAAAGACACTCTGCTGTACTTTGTGACTTCATCATGGTATTCTGGATCATGCTGTAACTAGACGAGAGAAGGCGGACACGGCGTGGCTTGGCGCTCAAACGTCAAAGTTGATTGAAAGTGTTTTTCTTAAGTTGAAGTGTTCTAATGTATAAGATGCTAGCCATATTTCGTCCAAGCAAGAAATTGACATTGTTTTCTGATTATTTCAATTTATCTCGTTGCAAATTCCAACAACACATTCAAGAATGCAAATGCTCTTAAAGCTCTGTTCTGTATTATACTTTGTGTGTAGCACAATGGACTGAGCTTTATTTCTTTGTGCAACCCTGTGTTGTATAATGACAATAAATGACTCTTGAAATGATTGGGTCAGAAATATGAGACCATTGCTAAAAGTTAGAAACCTTTACTGGCCGTGATTAGGCTTTAACAGCAGGTGACACAGTGAGTTCTTATACAGGATGTCCTCCCCGCAACATATAAAGGGGATACAGTGCTTTCAGCAAACGCAACTTAAGTTGATTACAAAATACTTCTAAACCTATTTATGACCCTCTTCAATAAAATAAAAACCTGAAACAGGTCACTTCATAAATGTTCCATAAAGCCACAATTTCATCATGTGTAGATTATGAATATGAATGTAGCTCACCCCATTCTTTGACCAGGTTGTTGGACATGTAGAGGACTTTGAGGTTCTTCAAGGACTGGACACCCTTCAGTTTCTCTATCAAGTTATAGGAGATCCACAGCTCTTCTAATGTCTCCCCTACGGACTCCTACACACACACACACACACACACACACACACACACACACACACACACACACACACACACACATTTAGATGTTGTATTTAGCATGTGTAAGTAGTGTACTGAAACTCGTTTAAAGGTGCAATGTGAAAGCTATGGCAGCATTTGAATTTGAAATGTTAGCAACAGATAGTTATGACCGGCTCGCAGAGTTTCAGCACTTTGGTGGAACTAAGCATATTTTAGCCGTGGTGTTAGTTAGTATTAGGACTTTTCGTTAATAACTGACGTCTATAAAATATATTGTATGGAGCCAGTATTAGAGGTGAAATGCTGCCCCCTATTTCTTCAGTGTGGCCTGGAACTACACATTGCACATTTAAGTAAGTAAGTAATAAAATAAATGTAAAAAAGCAGACAACAAGAAGAGAGGAAAACATGGAAATAATACAACTTTCTTTTTCATATGTAACTTACCAGCCCAGTAAGGGCCTTTATATTATTTCTTCCTAATGACAATATCTTCAAGTGTTCTGTAAAATACAACACAAATGTCATTAGTGCACCAGATGTCCACCTCTGAGTTTGTGTGTGGTTATATGTGATTGTGCAGTCAGTACTCACTCAGGCCGTTGAGATTGGTTATTTTTTCAATGCAGTTTGTGGACAGAGAGAGCTTCCTGCAGAGGATACAGTACAATTACATATCAGGTATTTGAATGGGGATTACATCATTGGTGACTAAACACTTTCACTGTATTAGCTGCTGTTTTACTTTCTCTCCACTAATCTACCAATGACAATTCTGTGAATGCCTCGAAAAGGAGGGGAAATGAGCGGGTAGCATTGAACAGGAAAAAGCTAACTTAAAGAGGTGGGTTTTAAGGTCTTAATGAGGAATCAGCAGTCAGTCGCTATAAAACAGTCAAAAAGATATTTGTTGAAAAAAATATGAATCATCAAAACTACGCACGGTCCTTAAGCATACAGTAATAAACAAACACAAAAATACAAGGCAGTATTAGCAATCGATCCAGACCGACAGTCTTCTTGCGCATGCCGGAAATGAAATGGAACAGATCTTTCTTAAAGGCATAATTCTAGCTTACTATAGAAAATACTCAACATTAGCGATTGAGGAAGTACTTAGAACTTATCTTACCTTCAGTAAAAGTAACAACACTACATTGCAAAAATACTAATCTTACTTAAGTAATATTACACATTACTCATCAAAATAAACTTAAGCACCAAAAGACAAAGCACTTGTTATGTGAACTTCATTCATTTCAGAAATGTAGTAAATTATTGGATTATGATTATTGATGCATATATGTTTATCAATATAGAAGCATAAAGTAGCTAACATGACAATACTCTGGTAAATAACAAGTACGCTTGTACTCAATGCAGTACTTGAGTAAATATGATTTATTACATTCCAACACTGCTTAATATTTCAACCTGTAAAATGTGTTGAGATTGCATGGTTACAGTACTCACTCGCAGTTGGTGAGCGTAGAGAGGGAGGGGTCCATCTTCTCTATAGGAGGAACCTGACCATACAGTCTGACGGCTTTAGTCTCACCCGCTTTCTCCCCTGACTTCTCCTCCTGCACGCACGCACACGCACGCACACACACACACACACACACAGATCATAAGAGACAATTACAAATACTTTGCTACAATCATGTAACTACACAATGCTCCTTCAGTCCCAGATGTCGACATAATTGTCAGAGCACAGTTCAATGATTCTGTTACACAGTATTTCATTCATGGTATTCGTTCTGTGCGTTTCAGCCGTGTTTATGTAACTCACCCACTTAGCCAGTGCTTCTCTCACTGTCGTTGCTTTGGCCTGCGGAAATAACATGACATCCAGTTAGACAGGCAGAGGCTACATTCAAATCTGTTCATTTATTCACAAACAGGTAACAATACAAGTACCATCATGACATAGAATGGAGATATGTGAATTGGGACACACTCATAAGCTATCCAAAGCTTTAGAATGCTAAACTTAGAATACTTACAAAATATGTTACTAACACTTCTTGAATTGGAGAGGGTTTATGTATTACACAGAAACATCACAAGCTAAAAACACCGAACAATAACCAAATTGCCTAAAAACTAATCCAACCCTTACGACTAAATGGTCAGAAGAAAATCATTTTATCAGCGTGAACATTGGTTTAAAAAATATGGGATATAATACACAGATATATGACAAGAACAAATAATAGTATAAAGTATAAGAATTAGAACAGCTCTACATCAAATTAAGTTAGGCTTTTAATACACTCTGTTTTTATTCTTATTTTCAATTGTGGGTTTTAAAGGCATGCTGAATGAGTAGACACTTACGTCCTAACGTTAGTCCTCCGAATATTACATTTAGAACTAGGAATAATGGCATATTAGACACATACATACACTCACGTTTAGCGCAGAGTTGATGTTAGCTGGTTCTTTAACGTCAGGTTAACTGACAATAAGGTTAGCTAAGTGGGCCTAGCTAATTAAAGCCCATATTAGCTAACAGCGACAACAACACTGCACGTAAGATTGAGCTTTGAGACATGAATAATTGCATCTTCGGTAGGTTGTCATACTTCGTACAATTGTGCAATATTATCCGAAAAAGCGACGAAGAATGAACAGAAAACACAAACACTTACCATGTTGATGTCTGCCCTGGTTGCTATGGCACTGCCAGGCAGGCAGCCTACAAGCTGCGCATGCGCATTGTAACAAAGCAAAATGTAACTGCTGAACATTAGTGACTGTAGATCAGAGGTGCCCAGTACCTCGACCGCGGGCAATGCTGGTAGATCGCGAGTCATTCATAAAAATAAAAAATCCAGCTCCGTTAAAATAGACAAAACAGGTTTTGATCCCTCCTCCCTTGGCCTCCCTGCCACTTCATTCAGGAGTTTACTTGATTGACAGAAAAAGCGACCTATCGCTTTCCAGTCTGTTAACTCAGAATGCAAAGCGATACAAAATCAGTCAAGTGCCGGGAAAACTCAAATTAAGTTAAAGAGACAAAAGAGACAAACTACAAAATGAGTGCGGGACCGAGCAAGAAGCTAAAGACATACCACTTCCACCCAGAATGGGAGGAAGAATATTTTGTTGTGATGTCACATTCAAAGGTTATTTGCCTTAGTTGTAAAGCAAGCGTCGCTCTGCCAAAGAAAAGTAACGTGGAGAGCAGGGGCGGATCTACCGGGGTGGCATGGGGTGGCAACTGCCACCCTAAACAATAGCCTTGCCACCCCAGCTGCCACCCCAGTTGGCATCTTTGTTTTGAAAGAAAAGTTGTTGCTCATCGGACATTTATGAGAGAAAGTCTCTAATGTCCGAGTGCAAGTGAATGCAGCACAATATGCACGTCATGTAACCCCTCCCCCGGTCCTGGCGCGAGAGTGGAAATATGATTGGTGGCGAATTCATTTGAACGGGAAGGCGCAAAAAGAGAAGCCTTTCGGACCCAAGCACTGAAGGAATGAGGTATTTGCGGTCTACAATGACAGAGAAGAGAATGTCAAGTTTGGCTGTACTCAGCATTGAATCAAAACGCACTACAGCTGTTGATCTTAATACATTTGTGAGGCGTTTTGCTGAACAAGATAGTAATCGCCGCATTCAGCTGTAATAGACATGCCAACTTGAATGCTCTGCTCACGGATGACTCGATGAGAATAACAAACTGTTAAGATGATGACCTTGTATGCGTGTATATATTTTTTTCTTCAATTTTAAGTCCTGAAAAAGTTAAATAAGACGGTGTGTAAAACTACACTGCCCAGCCAACAGAAAGTAACCACTTTGATTTAACTAGGCCAGTAGGTAAGGACCTTCCACTGGATAATAACTGCAGCGATGTTTTAGCTGAATACACGTTTTTTAACCCTAACTGATGCAGTTAGTCACTTCTTTAATGTTTGTTCTTTCTGATGTAAAGTCAAGGTTGTAACTGTATATCAATAATGATATAATTACTTGTTTTTCAAATTTGAAGGAGGGTGAGCAAGCATCTTGATGAACATTCATCATTAACTCCTCCAAAAAATAAATATAGTTTATTCAATAATAAATGAATATGTGAATCATAACAGTTATTCACTATATCTGTAAAGCGTCTTTGAGCACCTGTAAAAACGCTAACAAATTAAATCTATTATTATTATTATTTATTATTTATTTATACAGCTGATAGGAATAATATGATTGTTAATAGTATCATATTCATTCAGACAAACATCGATGAGACAGTTAATTAATGTACTTATTGCAGCAGTCTGCATAGATTTGGTACCCTGCTGGTCTAAGAGTGAGACAAACTCATTCAGTTATTGTTCAGTTAAAATTCATTAAATTACGTCTGCCACCTTGTATGTAAGGCTTTACTGATGTGCCACAATAATATCACCTATGTGATTGAGTTAAAATTTTAATATTGTGGCTTTCCAAGTTAACATTGATTGTAGGGGTGTAACGGTTCACAAACATTTCGGTTCGGTACGTACCTCGTTTTTAGGTCACGGTTCGGTTCGGTACGTTTTCGGTACAGCAGAAAAAATTATCACAAAACATTAAAAACATTTTTTTAATTATTATTAAACTGTGACTAATGTATTCAAATAAATACAAAATATAGTAAAATAAACATTAAGGTGCTGCATTTCGATGAACTGAAATAATCTGTATTTGAACTGTACTAGTACCTAAGCAGCCAGCTTGACATTAGGACTTGCTTTTCATTGTATTTTCATGTTGTTTAAAGAAAGATTAACTTTTCCACATTGCTTGCTGAAATGGCAGATCTGCTGGCGCTAACAATGTCTCCTGCTGTGGAGAACACCCTCTCTAGGGACAGAGGTAGCAGACACAGCCAGGTAGCGCTTTGCTAACATGGCAACATAAGGATATTTTGCGTTTGTAATAGCTTTGGCTCGGTCTGAACTTTCTGCGAGTGGTGGAGGCTTACATGCTAGTGGGAGTTGGGTTTGCACTTCAGTCTTTTTTCTTTTGGTACCGGTGATATTCACATAAGGGTGATGCCTTTTCAAATGAGTGTGATGTATTGCCAGCCGCGTAACCAATGTTAGTTGAACAATGCCGACAAACAGCTTTGGTTCGGTCCACCTGTCTTTGTACGTCATCCTTGTGTAACTGCGAAACCAAAATGTTCCCAAACCGGAGACTTCAATGATGCTGTAGGATTTTCAGCTCAACTTTATCTGCGTTCGCCATTTCGACAGTTCCTCAAATTACTGACTACATTTGAACACACGTGTACCGAACCGAAGGGCCCGTACCGAATAATTTCAGTACTGGTACGTGTACCGTTACACCCCTAATTGATTGATATGATTGCGATTCAAATCAGCATATACTTCTGTCAGGGAATGCCACCCCTCAAAATCTCCTGCCACCCTCTTGCCACCCCATGAATATTTGTCTAGATCCGCCCCTGGTGGAGAGGCATTATCGGAGTGTTCACAAGGCATAGCAGCGACTTCCCTCCGAGTAGCGAGTTGAGAAAGAGAAAGGCAGGGTCGGCTCTAGAACAAATCGAATGGGGGGGGGAAATCATTTACAAAGGGGGGGCACACACTGCCGTCAACAACCAACGCAACTTCAAAAAACATGCTGTAAAGTCTATTGTCTTTCACACACATTGTAGTGCTATTGTATAGCGCACCTATGACTTGTGCATACATGCACGGTTGTGGCACGATCACCAAAACAGAAACATATAAGGACATAGGCCACAATATAAAAAGGGTGCAAATGTATTTAGTATCCTATCCATGTGAACATGTTTTAGGTGGGTGTGGACCTAACCTCCTCTAGGAGGGTCCGGGGGCATGCTCCCCCGGGAAGATTATTTAAAAAATATTGTAGTTAAATGCATCAATCTGGTGCACTTTGAGAGCAACATTAGGAGATATATGGATAGCCTACATCTCTCAGCATCCATATGAAACAGAACTGTACACAGATTTACTTTTTCTTTATGGATATTTTACTAATCACTCTCCTTGTAAACTGTATTCTTGTGTTACTGTCCTATAGTATTTCATACCCGTTTTTTATTTGTTCTCTTATTCTTTAATAACTATAATGATCATATAAAGGTATTCCTCGCAAATACTTGTTTACATAAATGGTGAGCAAACCGTTTGAGACCCACTGAGATAACCTACACTAAAGTGAACTATCTAAACACTGAGAGAGTCCTACCTCACTGAGCTGACGTTATAAGATCCTCTCAGTCTGACAGGAGAGGACTCTCCTCCACCTTGGTGTAGAAACAGCTCTTTATATCCGTTAGCATAGCGAGCTAACCAGATGCTAACATCAACATTCCACGTTACCGCTTGCGCACTCACAAAATGCGCTCGTGCCACACACACACACAGAGCCGAGCTTGAATGAAACACAGAGACCCAGAAGTAGGGTACTTGTACTGTACTGTATATCATATTATTTTCGATGGCTTTACTGTATAATCAGTATAACAGATGAACAGATCGCCACTGGGCTCTCATCTAAAAACACAGCCACGTAATGATAACAAAACAAAGGTCGGGGGTCATTGGTCAAGCAACACACCAATCAGAGAGCAGCAGTGAGCACAGCTCAGGCTGTGTTTTATATTTGTATTCTTTATTTCTGACGTATTTCACACAAAAAATCTTTAGTGGAAACGTTTTCACTTATATGATTTAGAAAAAAAAACGGCAAAGTGGCAAGGCTTGCCCACCCTGCTTTGGGGGGGCACAGTGACTCATTTGGGGGGGCATGGCCCGCGAATGACCCCCCATGACGCCGACCCTGGAGAAAGGTCATGTATTATTGCTACACAAACATTATCTCGCAGTCTTAGTGTCGCCAACTTGTTTCTAACATGCAAAAAGACAAACAAATGCGTCTATGGTCGGTGTATTTGGATCTTTCCAATCGAGACGAGGGCCCTTTCTCATTTAATCAAATCCCCCTCCTCGACTCCTCGGTCCTCAGGTAGTGACCCGGAAATGAATTTTAGCGCGCCATGTTGAAGGACATCTCATTTCTCTCAATGCACTTCGAGGATCGAGTGGTCGAGGAGGCTCTCTGGAGGAGCTATAACCGAGGATACACTGATGGGTCCTCCACGGCTCCTTCGTGGATGCATTTCCGGGAACAGAGATGTTTCAAAGCGTCGTGACGCACGGCCGGACTTATCTCAGCCAATGACAGCTCTGCATGCATCCCCTGGATATTATTTTATTAACTGCTTTCATCGCGACGCGATGTTTCCAGAGAGAACAGCTGTGAGGTCCATGCAGAAAGCAGAGCAGTGTGTAAAATATATATCACTCAGTATAACAGGCCTACTCTCTTTATTTGCTGTAGTTTAGTAGATATATACAAACAAAGAGTCGATATTTTTATAAAACCATTTAGTGCTTCACATAATAAAATACACAACGGCTGTAGCCTGATAATATGCTTTAGGAGCTGTAGGTGTGTGTGGTACAGTCACTGTACACACACACCTACACACTGTACTACAGTGTGTTGGTGTGTGTGTGTGGTACAGTGTGTAGGTGTGTGTGTTGTACAGTGCGTAGATGCAGCGGACAGACAGGTCTCAGTTGGTTTGGTGTCCTCTGCTTACTTTTAATACTTATAAATAAAACTTTTGGCCCGTAATTTATTTCCCTCATTGTAGCGACCAGAGAGGGGAGGGGGATATATCCAGTTTCTGATAGTGTTATGAGAGTGCTCTGTTTGATTCTGAAATGGTATATATTTATGTGTGTGTGTGTGTGTGTGTGTGTGTGTGTGTGTGTGTGTGTGTGTGTGTGTGTGTGTGTGTGTGTGTGTGTG